TCAAAATCTAGCTCATTTTTACTAGAAAACAATGAATTTCGGTTAGGGACTAAAGTTCAAAATGTGAATTTAAACTGTGTGCGGGTAATTGTGCGCGACTCTGTATTTATATGTGAGTTAATCAAAGCTTCTCTGGCTGCCTATGTTGAAGTCAGTAGCATAAAATCAAAAAAAGAGCGTTTATTTTTTGGAGTTACACGTACAAGGAAAGTATAGCACAGAACCATTTTTGCGGACGACAGAAAACTGATACTCATCAATCCCTCTTTCCTTGCTGCGAACATGCAAAAACAAGTATGTGAATTGATTTTTCTATCTCATAGCCAGACTACCTAAAACTATTTTGCTGCTATTTTTTTTACTCTTTAAAACTTCGTAAGTTTAATCGTCAAACTATTAGATTGACAACAATGAAATGTCGATTTTTGGTGATAAATTATTTATTAAAAAACCCGAAAGAAAAGGTTTCAATCCGAAAGGTATTCACCATTATCATTGATGATTTGTTCCCATCTTCGACGCAAATCACGGATACCGTTCCCAAAAAACTGTGGAGTTTCGGATGTAAAGTAGTCAGTGAGGGCTTTTATGATCTGAGCATGATAATCAAATTTTTCTCAGTCAAGAAATTGTTTTAATGATCGAAACAAAAAGTAATCAGAAGAAGCCAGATCAGGTGAATAAGGCGCGTGGGGCAAAACTTTCCAGCCGATTTCCTCGATTTTCTCATGAGTGATTTTTGCTGTGTGAGGTTTTGCGTTCTCGTGCAAGAGTCGGACTCTCGACGATTTGAGTCCTAATTTGTTCAAAGCTTCGTTAACTCTTATTAATTGCTTTGCGTAGAGGTCGGCATCAACTGTTTCGTTAGGTTTCAACAGCTCATGATGCACCAATCCTTTTACATTCCACCAGCAACATAGCATGATCTTTTTCTCATGGATCTCGGGTTTGGGAGTCGTTTGCGGTGTTTGCCCAATGGACAGCCATTGGTTTTTTCGTTTTACATTCTCATAGCTAATCCATGCCTTATCAGAAGTCAAAATTCTACTGAAAAAATCGTGTGATTTGCCCTTTTGAAGCAAGATTGAGCAAACGTTAAGACGTGTCATTTTATTGTCTTGGGTCAGTTCATGAGGAACCCATTTTCCAACGCGTTACTAAGTTGATGCAAATCATTTTCGATTGTCATATGAGATACCTCAAAAAATTCTGTTAGCTCACGAACAGTTAGTGTTGAATTGTCCTCAATAATTTGAAGCAAACATTCGTTGGGCACTTTTGACAGGGGTCTGTCTACCCTTTGGCTCAATGTGAAAGCTTTCATCACCATTTTGAAAACGTTCAAACCATCTCTGACATTGACGCTCACTAATACTATTAGATTGTCCCATAAAAAATTGCCGTTTTTCAAAAATTTTTGCTTTCAACACAAAATAAAAAGTAACAACGTAGATCATACAATATATTTTCCATGATTATTATAGACATTTAACCAACGTTTTGGTAACTTCTCAAGTCCTCGCTTGTAAAAATCGGGTTGGCGTGAAAGAAAGTAGTCCTCCAATTCGCCCTCGAGGTCACCTTGGTTGTTGAATTGCTTGCCTCGAAGGAAATCCTTTAGCGACAAAAATAAGTAATAATCAGAAGGAGCAATATCCGGGCTATAAGCGGGATTTGAAAGTGCATCCCAGTGTAAATTGTTTTCCATAAAATTCTTCGATTTGCTCGATTTGCTCGAAGGGGCGTTGTCTTCAAGCACAAAAACGGGACCATTCCCTTCATTCTGATAGAGCAATAGGAGAATTTTCTACTCAACTTGTTGCATATGGCGTCGATAAACATCACTGTTAAACGTTTGACCCTTCTGGAGGAGCTCCCAAAAAAGTATGACAGAGCAACGCCAATAGACACACAGAAGTCGCTTATTCTCATGAATATTTCGTTTTGGCACCACTTTTCCCAATCGACCTTTCTTCAACCATTGTCGTTTCAACACTCGACCATCATAGAATATCCACGATTGATCATGAGTCACTATATTGGAAAGAGGAAGCCGACCGCATCGATATTCGTTCAGTAGTTGACGACATGACCGCGACATGACAGTAGTTGACGACATGACGACATGACTTTGGTCCTTAATCGAATTGTTCAGTTGATAGGGTATTTGCCGCTGTTTCAACCACTTTCTTCCGGGTTTTTTCCGCTTCCTCGCTTTCGTGTGAGCCGGGTGTCACCTTTTCGGAACTTCTGAAACCACCATCGTGCAGTCCTTTCCTTGACGATTGTTGATCCATAAAAAGAATTGATTTCTCTCGTTGTTTTGGCCGCTGAAATCCTCTTCAAATATCGTTGATACAGGTGTTGATGGATTTCTTCAGGAGACGGCGCCATTTGATCGATCACAACTTTTTCTGCTTTTGGTTTCTAAAAAAGAAAATTTAGCACATAAAACTAGAATTGTAAAGCAGTATAATAAAAAACAGAAAGAGAAAGTGTTAATTTGTCGTTGAATACGAATCAAATGAAAAAACGGCAATTTTTTATGGGACAACCTAATATTTTATCCAAAAACACTCGTAATGATGCGAGGAGATTCAGCAGCCAATTTTCCTTGTTTAAAATCGTAGAATAAAGCAGCTCGAATACGAAATTTTTCGTCCTCTATTTTTGTGGCAGAAATTGAACGGCTAGATTGGGGATCTAAATGTTGTTTATGTAAAAGACTTGTAGTTTATATTTATGAAAAAAAAACGGGAAAGTATTGCTTTTCAAACTTGGAGAATGCAAAAAATAGCAAATCGACATTTCATTATTGCCAACCTAATAGTTTCTATTTACTCAAATAAAATTCCCTAGTGGCAAGTTGCTTAACGGATACAGGCTATTTCTTTCTACTTTAATGCCATCATAGGATTCATAGATGGATTCAAACAAATCATTTACTGAGAGATTGATCGGCCGGGGAGGGTTTGGAGATGTCTATGAGTTAGTTGGACACGAACCGTGAGTTTTTTAAGACTTTTTCTATTCAAAATTTATTTACAGTCCAGCAGTCATCAAGTATTTATGTAGCGGAAAAACTGCTGAATTGGAAAGAGAATACGAAATCTTGAAGAAAATAGAGCATCCAAATGTTGTACAAGTGTTGTATACTGGAGAAAAACAAGGAAATTTCGGAATTGTGATGGAATATTGCCAACGAGGATCACTAAAACAAAGTTTTTAAGATAAAACAAATTAAATAAAAAGGCTTTTTTCTAGTAATCTTTGATCCATTTATGATCTATTCAATGAAGACTGTCGTCATTTGGGGTGAACAGCTATTTGATGCTCTTGATCACATGTACACAAAGCATCAACTCGTACATCGGGACATCAATTTGATGAAGTAAATCAGACGCTTAGCGATGGAAATAATTAATTTAGTATCTTTGTGGCAAATGATTTTCATCTGAAGATCGGAGATTTTGGATTAGGGAAAGTAATCGAAAGAACTTGTACGGGTTCTTTTGTTGGAACTGCGCGATATATGAGTCTTGCACTAACGAATGAGCTTTTGTTGGGCGATATTCAGGTTGAGTTTAATATATAAAAAAGTTTCTATTCTAAAATAGGATTCCCACAGAAATGATGTCTACAGCTTAGGCCTTGTCCTTTGGGAGATTATCGAAAGAGAGTTCGACGTTAAGGGAATTTTCACCTCTAAAAAAAATTTTTAGGCTTGTCTTTGCTCAATATGACACTGAAGCTGGCTTTAACCGAGATGCGCTTATCTCCGATATTTGCAGCAAAAAGTTACCTCAATTGAGTTTGCCACGTTGCCAAGAGAAGATTCAGGACATCGTTGGGAGGTTTGTCCTGGAAAGATGCTCATTTCCTTCTCTTTTAGGTGCACTGACTTTCAGCGTTGATCGAGATTATTGGCGAAAGAAGTATTGAATCGATTTGTGGAAATAGATGAGGTTATTGAAAAGTCAAACGCAAAATGATCAAAATTAGATGAACACTTTAATTCAATCATTGGAGTTTTTGCCAAAGATCGACTCAAGCCAAAATATCCTTATTCACCCAATCGGTTGCGATTTTTCAGAAGAAAGAGATTCAAAGTCTTTGGAAAAGGAAATCGGGGAAATTCCCATAAATGAAAATGCAAGGGAATCCCTATTGACATCAGGTGATTTCATTGATGCTAGCTGGATGCAACTTGGTATTTCTCAGTTAGACTTTTTTCCGATTGCAACGAGTGTGGTCGATAGCCGTAGACTAACACTGGTTTTGTCCCTAGTGACGTTTGTTTTTATCATTTTTCTACTGTTCACTTTCCACTTTTCGACACTACTACATACCCATGAATGGCAAAATGATTCGCTTCTTTATATTGAGAGCAAGTGGAGCGAAAAGAGAGCCGTGATCAGACAAATGGCTGCTAAAAGTCTTGGTGAGCTGGGACTTCTCGAAGGAACTTTGTATAATCTGGTCCCCAACCGCATTGAGTCACTCCGACTTCGATTGGATTTAAATTACCCGGCCCCTAAAGTGTTCGAACCCTCGTTTAACATAAACTTACAATTTTTAGACAAAACGCAAAGAGTTTTCACTATTAGTGAACAGAAAGCTGCGATTGGAGATATTTCCAATGGAAAAAAAATGCCCCTCTTTCCCGAAAATCGAATCACAAGAGAAATAGCTTTGAACTTATTGAACACTATTGAAGATTGCAACTCTATAGAGTTCGACTTCGAATACTTTAGTTCGAACAAGACAAGTAGGCTCTATTCCATCACGTTGCGGTTTATTGAAAGCTTTTTTCACAGTCAACGTTTCCTACCTCTGCTATCTAAGGTTAGTAGATTCAAAGTCGTCACAAATCTACCGGAGTTTTTGAAAGTCCTTTTCATGAATTTTTCGCCGACAAGGTACAAGTACTTGGGCTGCATTGGCGAACCGAAGATGATATAGGCGTCACGAAAAACCTAAGTGAACTATTTGAAAGAGGAATGTTTCACAGCTGCCAAATAATCGAATGGAGTGTTCCCGTTCCCGAATTTGTGACGGAATTTGAGCAGAACATGCACGCGGTGATCATCTATGAGAACGAGGCGCTCTATGGAAAAACAATGAGCCAAATGAACGAGTTGCTAGTTTTTGTGCGAGTGATTGGAGTAAATTTGAACAAACAGCATTATTTTAGCTTGCAGGTGACCGCAAAACTTTTGGATGCAAAAAATCTGAGGGAAAGTGAGATTTGACTTTACCTTTAACAGTTTTTTATCTTTGTTAATATTTAAACTTTTATGGTTTAATAAAAAAGTATTTTTGAAAAGAACCTTATCTTGAAAAAACAAATGTCAAAGATATTTAAAGTTGCTAACAATCGTGAAACGAGAAATCCAGTTGAGTCTAAACGGTCGATTTAAACAGTTGCATCTCTGAAAGAAAAAACAGTATTATGATATGTTCATGAGGTTCACCTGATTAATTACTTAATCCAGACTCTAAGAAGAACACAGCCAACTACGAAGAGAAATTTACAGATAACCGCGGTGGAAAATAGAATAATTCTCTTTCTGAGGAGTCGCTAAAGCAGAAAATTTTGAGAAAATGTCAAGTTTTTCAAGCAATCCCAATCATCCAAGCAATCCCAATTATTATTAAAAGGTTTAGTAAAACATCTGATGTATAAGAACTTGATCTTAGCATTAAAAATTTTTTTCCATCACATGCATACACAAAAATGATCCTTGAAGTTAGATTTGTCTAGTTTTGGTTCAATTTAAGAGTACTACTATTGTTGTAAATTGTTATAAACCAAACCCAATCTATGGGAAACTTTTTTTCCACCATATACTCTAACTAGTTAAGAAGAGATTAAGAAAGTTTTTTTGGATTTTAACCAAATTTACTTCCCTGTTTTTTAAAGGATTTTTTACACCCGACGAACCTACTAGACTTTTTTACGAGGCTTAACGAGGCTTCAGTAACGATTGAAAAAGGCTACGGGCAGTGCTTTTTTTGAAAGCATGTTGACGATGGACGAAAAGTGGATATATTTCAATAATTCAACACGCAAAAGACAATGGTTGAGCAAAGGAGAAAGGCCGATTCCGACATCACATCCAGAACTTCACGGAAAGAAAGTTATGCTGTCGGTCTTTTGGAATATGAAAGGAATCGTTTATTTTAAACTACAAAAATCTTCAAAAACTATAACTTCTCAAAGCTACGCCGAACAGCTGCAGAAAGTTGATGAAATTCTACGAGAAAGAGGTGTTAATCCAAAGACAATCCATTTACTCGCTCACAATTTCCGGGTACACACATCAAACTTGGCGCAAAACACCATAGAAGAATTAGGCTGAAATCTTCTGCCTCATCCGCCATATTCCCCTGATATCGCCCCTTCAGATTACCACTTGTTCCGATCTATGCAACACTCCCTTGCAAATCAACAGTTTAACAATTACCAAGAAGTCGAAATTTGGGTGCAAGACTATTTCGCGTCACAAGATCCGGAATCTTTCGAATCAGGCATCCGAAGTCTACGTAAAAAATGGAAAAATATAGTTGATAATTTTGGCGAGTACCTTTTGGAATAAAGTCTTTTATTATTAATTTTCGAGGTGTTTGAACGTTGCGTATAATACGCAGTTTCTTTTGCAAACCCCTAATAGTAAAAGCCATGACAATAAATGTAACTAATTTTTTAAAGAAAACTGTCAGGAAGCCAGACACCCACTTTCTGTGATGTTTAAACTAAAATAAATATTTTACGATTAGCAACTGGCAAAAATACATCAATCATTCAAGCGATTGTATCTTTTAAAGGTTCATCATTGATATAATAAACAATGAAATGGTTCAGTGAATCAAATAGAAAAGAGATAAACTGTTTGAAGATCCCGAATCGGCTTTGCAACGGTCTTGAATCGACGCCAAATCGGCCCCGAATCCGCCTCGAATCGGAAATGTTCCAAGTCTTGGAAAAGCCCCCAAATTCATCAATATAGTTTCTTGAGAACGCTTTTATACATTTCAAACTACATCATTGATATAATAAACAATGAAATGATTCAGTGAATCACATAGAAAAGAGATAAACTTTTTGAAGATCTCGAATCGGCTTTGCAACGGCTTTGCTTTGCTTTGCCTTGAATCGGCCCCGAATCCGCCTCGAATCGGAAATGCTCCAAGTCTTGGAAAAGCCCCCAAATTCATCAATATAGTTTCTTGAGAACGCTTTTATACATTTCAAACTATATCATTGATATAATAAACAATGAAATGATTCAGTGAATCACATAGAAAAGAGAAAAACTTTTTGAAGATTCCAAATCGGCCCCAAATTTTAAAAGTTCAACTCAAACATACTACCGTTTCCAAATTCATTTATTAAATCTTTTAAAAGATAAAAGACGTTAAGGTATCAATTTTGAAACAACCCAAGAATGTTCAATCAATAATCAGCACTACGAACTTTATTGCAAGACTTTTATAGAAAACGGCTGCCATGTTCAAAATGCATTCAGTTCATCTTGCAAATCATTGATGGAAGACCGTCAACGCCTTTATTTGTCGGATACCACCATCCAAGTGCATTATCACCGGTACACGTGCTTGAGTGCATCTAAAATTGGTTCAAGTAAAGTTACTTTTTCAGATAAACTTCGAATTGCATAGTATAATTGTTGAGTGTGTGAATGCCATTTCTCCTTCCTCTTTCTTCTCTGGCAAGAAGATAGATTAGTGGTTAGAACGTTTGCTAGGAAGCAAAAAGGTTTAGAAAATCTTTGCTATTCTTTACTTTACTTGACTATAGTTAGTTTTGGCCTTGACTTAACGATTCTCTCTCTTGATCTCACCACAAGCTGGTTTCGCGTTGCAGAGGCTGCACGTTGCAATGCCGAGAATGGGGCAATTTGTTGGGTGTTTCCAACAAACACTTGCGCTAAGAAAATTTGATCACAACAATCACAACAACAATTGTTTCACCTTTATTATTTGCCGTTCCACCAATCAAAGCCGTTTGTTTATTCCAGGTGCCAACCATTTCACAGCCTGTGTTCAGCATATCTATGTTGATCTCCAATTTTTAAGTCTTCTCAATTCTAGTTCTTGTTCAGCTAAGATCTCAACATTTCAATTTTACCTGCAATAAATATATTCTCGGCAAGACTTCCAATTTGCGGAACAGTGGCACCAAAATTTGCGCATAGCTTGGTACTATATGGTTGCACCTAATAGGTTGGGTTTTACAATGGATAACTATAAAAAATTGTCTACTGAATTTTAAATATATAATATTAAAACAAACACTGTAACATTCCCCATTAAAGAGTTGCCATCCAGCTTGACATGTCTTGGGTTGTGTAATATTTGATGAAAAGTTCGCAGCACCCGGATTTGGACACCTTACATCACTATTTCTGAGCACAAAATCGTATGGACCGCTTGTTGGGTAAAAACATGAGATTTTAGTTCCATATTCGCCGAATGATTGAGCTTAAAGTCTACTTGTTTGTTATGAAAAAGTCCAAAACCTGGTTCCGTGAAATTAAATCCTTTACAATTGGTTTGACTTGTGGATAACGCGACACAACCACGGGCACAATCTTGGAATAAAGCCGATTGGAAACTCGCTTTGATGGGCTGGTTCTGTTGGAATGTGTATGGTTGACAGGTGGTTGAGGTGATCAGGAAGAATACAATCAGCAGCATCTTCACAATGAATATGAAAGCTTTCGAACAAATTCTCATCTAAATTTGGATTGAAATTTGTCTGTCTTAGAGACATTGTCATGGAAATTGAGAGCCGTAGTTGAAAAATTGGAAAAAATGGCTGGACTTTTTTGATGGATTTTTCTGTTTTTAAACTTTCAAAGCTGGCATTTTAGTTTATTTTAGTTTTAAACGATTTTGATTGATTTTTGAGAAACTTTAAATCTTTTGTTCAACGGGAATTCGGAATTCCTATTCCATTTCAAATTAAATCTTTATTTTACATCAAAAAAATTTATTGTAAAAAGCTTTGAGGGAGAATTATCAGTTTAAGACTTTTAATTGCTTCAATTCATCTTGCAATTCATTGCTGCAGTACCCCGAGTGTCATTGATTGAATACCAAAATCCAGTCAAGATAAACCGGGGTAAACGAGTGAGTGCATCTAAAATTCTAGATAAAATTCGTAGCTTTTTAAATTTTTGGATATCCTTGTCCAGGTTTAAAGAATGATAGTATCTAGCTTTCTTTTCCGATTTTCAAAAGCATTACCGCAGCTTGGAAATTTGTGAGTGAGAAACGCTGTGACGCTGAAACGCTGAAACGCTGTGAGAAACGTTCTGCCCCGAAATAGAGCGATTTTATTCTGTCCGATGAGCACTTGACCTGAAAAGTTCATTAAATTATATAATTTTCATATAAATTTTATTCATTTACCTTTATCATTCGCCGTTTCACCAATCAAAGCAATCCCGTCACTTAAGGATAGATCAGGAAATCTTGTGTAATTCAGAATATCTATGAAGCTTATTGTAAAGAAATCAAATCAAAATGCAGACTCAATGCTTGAATACTCATTGAATTACAATCTTAAATTTTAGTAACCAAATTCCGATGTACACTACTGGACAATGAAATATGATATTTGAAAAAGATCGTCACTTTCGCGCGTCTATAACTCCCTTGTCTTTACCGTATTTCTAAATATTAATATTACCATTGTGTAGCCCTTGAAAAGAGCTTTCAGAAAATGTATAACACTAATAGTTTAAACTCAAAGACAAGAGAGTTACAGACGCGCGAAAGTGATGATCGTTTTTCAAATATGATATTTCATTGTCCAGTGCTGTATATCTTTTTTGTATTCAATCGGTTTCCAGGGAATGATTTTCAATGGTCTTATTGTTCATTTCAATGACTCGGAAGCGATTCGAAGTTCCGGTCCGAATTATCAGGGTTGTTTCCGATATTGCTTTTAAGGATTAAGAGATAGATCCCAGTATTGTTACAGGGTTCTCGGAGGGGGCGCAGGAGGGAGAGGAGGGCGCCCTTTAACTCGAGAGATCAAACTATCCTAAGCCTAAGCCTAAGCCTAAGCCTATCAACGCCTAAGCAAAAACCTTTGTCTTTCTGATTGGGATTCAGAGAAGAAGCTCTTTTCTCGCTGAGGTCTAGCGTTGTTAAACTCATACTCTCAACACTCAAAGAAAGAACTAGGGGTAAATATTTAGAAATTGCAATGATATTAAAGGTGAAATTAGCTAGGAGTCGGATTTTTGTCAAAGTGTAGCAAAAACTCTTCACTACCTAAAAACAAAAAGCCAACGAAACAGAAAGCTGATGTGCAAGAAAGCCACCTTAAATTCCCCCTATACTCTAGTTCTGAAAAGCCATCAAACCTGCTATGACCGTGTCAAGTATCAACACTGGCAAAATGTCCCTCGCATTTTTCAGCACACTGAAGCATAGGCTAATCTTAGAAAACATGAAGATAAACTTGTTCCAAAGAAATGAAAGCAATACTCAAAGAATTTCAAACATCGCTTTAGCATCAAATAATCGCCAGTTCTCAGGAGAATGGTAATTAAATAATTTAGTGCAAGAACCTTCAAAAGATATGGCCTTCAAACCTTCAAAAGCCTTCAAACGTAACTCCATTGCATCGTTTATTTTCTACTTCGCAGTATGCATTCAAAAATTCGCAGTGGTTCACCGAATAATGATTCCATAAATAATCGTAAAGATGGCCGGATTTCGCGGAATATATATCGGGGTAGATTCTGCAGGTGAAGCCGTCGCCGTCATCTTGCTTGATGAACATCCTCGCAACATAGAAGTTGCCTAAAGCTTAAGGGCTGGGGCGGGATGGGCGGCGTGGAGTAGGATGGGATTTAATTTCTCTGCCTAACCCTATCGCCTTCTATCGCCTGTAAAATTTGAGAGAACACAAAGGTCTTCCGATGTTTATCGTTGGAAATTCTGGGTAGAATGTTTTTTATAACAAAGGATGAATATGGTGAATGACGAGTAATTTGTAGTTAGCAAATCGCATGTTTTCCTTCATTTTTCTTTTTCAAAAATTCTAGATTCCTCATTCTTTTCCTCTTTCAACAAATCTCATTAATCCGACCGGTTCTAGTCAACATGATACAATTAACGGGTACAATTTGCACAAGGAAATTGCCAACGAAGAAGGAGAAGTCAAGGAGAATTTAAAACTTCAGTTGAATCAAAAAGTCCTCTCCTAAATCCCAAATAACTTCAAAATATCTATATAATAATGGGAAATGAAATGCAAGTTCACGATGTTGGCACAGCTTTTTTGACGTTGATCGGCTGTTTTTTGAATTTACTGTTACTGGTGCTGATTGCCACCGATCGAACAGCCACCAAACAAAGCTATAAAACGATATTGATCATTATTTGCGTCTTGAATATCTACGTTTCCATCATTCATCAGACCGTCGAGCCGGTAAAGTGTATGCTTTTTAATTATTGTTCAGGTTTCAACCTAAAATGAATAGTTAAGTTCCGTTTCCAAATCCGAACAGATACAAGAACTGGAACAATAAAGGAATTTTAATTTCTGGATTGGCGTGGCCTGCCCTGGCTTTTTCAAAGTTCTCCTTAACAGCAGCTCAGATCAGAATTTGTTTTTATGACCTGGCTTTTTTGTCAATCCTGCTTAAAACTCGGTAAACACTGTATCAGAAAGAAGACTCTAACCTGGAATGGTAGTGGTCGCAAAAAAACCGGTAGCAAAAAACCTATTGCCCAGCTTTTCAGGGTATATTGAATTTTAATCTCACTAGCGATCTTGCCTAGATTGTTCTAAAAGAATCTTTCAAATAAAACAATAAATATCTAGTTAATCTCGACAGATCAAAGTATGCATATCTATTAGTTTGTAAACTAAGTCTTGATCCCAATTTTAAAACAATATTTATCAACAAAAAAGAGAATTTTAATCGAAATAGTCTCTATTATTTGCGATGAGTTTCGCCCATTTTACTGACAATTGGCGGATTCTCCTCTCAGCAAATTTTTGGTTTCAAGACAAAACAGTCTTGGAACCACTTTTTTAACTTTTCATATTTCATGATTATAATAAATAATCAATCAAAAAGATAAAAGAGCATTTGGCTTTCTGGGTTGTGCTTTTGAATAAAAAAACTGATAAGCCAATATTTTGAAGAAAAACAGGGCACGCCTATTAAACTTAAACAAAATTTCGAAGAGGTCAAGGCTTAATTTACGATCTAATAACTCCAGATGTGGCTCATCGATCGATGGGGATTCGTCTGTGTGTCGAAAACCTTTGCCAATCGAGCCCCGTACCAAGTGAACTGGTGGGCATTGGCTCTGTTCATCAATTCGGTCGCCCAATCATTGAGTCTCCTCGGTGTTCATTGCCTCTTTCGATATTCAGCAATCACTGGGTAAGTAGACGGGGATCTGAAAACAATCTTGAGATCATCGGTCATTTCGCCTGCCCAACTTAACCAAGAATCACCCACACCACCAATCGGGGGTAATAACTTGATTGGCTGAATTTCGTTTTGAGATGGAGGCGATTGTTGCATTTTCCCGCTATCTTGAATCTCTCTTTTAGTAACTTCAAAAATCTCTTCGAGACGTGGTGGGGAATCTTAGCGCTTTCTGTGTTCCATTTCACCGTCTCTTCCCTATATGTGGTTTTTGGAGTTTATGGAATGGAGGTACAAAGATAGAGAGTTCAATATTGTTCAAAAAGAAATTCAGCCAAGTGAAGAGAAAGAATCACTCTTTCATCGAAAGATGTTCAAACGTATCTCAATGTGAGATTTAACGGTGAACGAATATTACTATGGACCAACGTTCAGAGTGAGAGACTTAATGTTTAACGTTTTATCTACCAAAATTTTACAGTATCCAGACAAGAATGGCATTGAGCACTATTCTTGGGGAATCATCGTGCCGCTCATTTGCTGTTTTGCCTTTTGTGGAGCTTTCTACTCGCTGATTTGTGGAACTGGAATCAAGTTGTTAGTAAGTAAAGACATATTTGAGCATATTAACCTCTCAACGAGGCCTCGTTAAGAGCCTAATGTGGTTTAATAAGTAAAAAAGTCAGCTGATTACAAAAATATTTCGGCGGAAAACATTGGCAACGGAGTTTTTGTCACATTAATCGCTGATAAGCCTCGTTTATCTTTAAGCCTTGTTATTGTCTAGTACATACATATGTATATGTGACAGTATTGAATTGGCATTTAATCAGAACTTTTGGCTTTAATTGTCTTAGCTCAAGCTTCTACCTGAGCTGACTACAAAGGTTTTATAAATATGGAAGTTTCTTCGTCATCTAGCTTCTACTAAGAAGACTAAAAAGACTACAAAAGAAGCTACAAAAGGATTGAGAACAGCTTGTATGACTATAAATATTTGGAAAGTAAAGTTCAGTCATGAAAACTTAATTCTTTCTTAGTTTTGAGGATTTGGAAAGCTATCGAGAAGCTATGAAAAACAGAATTTGAGTCGAATTAGAATGTCCCGTTCCAAATGCTCAAAAATTGAGTAAGCTAAAGCTACAAAGTTTTGATCTCCTCTGGATTTGATCGTAAATTCATTGGCCATCAGCTTCTAGGACTATAAAAGTAAGGTACAGCTTGTATCGCTACAAAAGTTAGAAGAAAACTCTATTGGCGATGACGCTTTCCTTGAAAATTTGACATCTGAACAGATATATAAAATGAATGATTTAGGAAATAAGAGAAAAATCGGCCTATTTTCAGGTATTCCTACGTGAAGAAAGCGACAATGTCAGCGTCAATGCGCAAAGGACAACTTCAACTTCTGCATGTGCTCTTTGCTCAGGTAAAGCTCAAAAAAGACCGGTTACTAACAGGCTTGGCTTGGTAGATCTTAAATAACATTCCCTTAATAAAGCTAATCCCAAATTCCCAATGTAATCCCAAAAACGTTCACGAATTCAGTGCGTAACTAAACAATTTTTTATGTATCAGTTGTATTATTAATACTTTAATCAGTGCAAAATGTTTTTAACTAAGCTTCCAACTAAGCAGAACATTAATATTGATGCATAGTAGTTAATTATGAATATAAACTTATTTATTTACCTTTTCAGGCTTTCTCTCCAGCGCTCTGTGAATTTTTTGCCTGTTTTCTTGCTTGTTTGGGGCTGGTTGATTGGTGAGTTAAATGTTTATAAATAAGAGTTAAATTATTGAAATAAATAAAAATCCAAATATGTCTAGAATCTCTAGGATGACGTCTCAAGAGATGAGATTCAGGAGTTAACCGCCGGTCCAGGCGACTTCTACATGCCGATGCTTTTCGCTGCCCACATTCGCCCCTGGACGCCTTCTTGACCCTTGATATTTACTCAAAAGTAAAATAATGATAAACTTGGTTTCTTTTCTGTTATCGCGAAAGGGGATTTTTGTGGCATGATTCGGTGGACCAACTAGGCAAGTGCAGGGTAACGGCATTAGGGGAGTGCCACGCACCTGGCGAGTCCCAACTATAGTATGCACCCCCTGTTAGTGGCTTCCTGTCTTGTTTGAGCTTTACACCACAGGCCAAGAGCACATGCACAAAAGTTGGATCGAAACGGAGTCGCTCGTCTTGCCATCTCTGAATAAGTTTTAAAGAAGTTAGGTAGCAGTTTACTAAACAATTTTTGAAACGAAATGTAAGCTTTGAATTGAAAAATTTAGCCTACTATACCCAACCACAACGACAACATAAAGAAACGAGGCCATTAGTTGGGTTCCGAAAAATTGTTGAAGATTGAGACTTGGAACTGAGAAGTTCACCAAGAGTGGCTGATAATTGCTAGAAATTTAAAATCATGTCAATTTTTAGCCACTTAATTACATGAAGTATGGATGTACTCGCTTATCATATCCTTTCAGAAGATCCGTGGGCAAAAGGGTGGTTTCTTGGAAAATTTCATGAACGTTTGAAACAAAAAAAACTCACCAATTGTAATGAAGCTCAAGAAAAGAATGAAAACTATCATTTAGATCATTTAACATATAATATTATAATTTTTACTTCCATAAACCCACTTGAGAACAATCGATTCAAAAGGGAAATTTCATCTGACCTTTCCTCTATTTACTCAAACACTCGACCTCTGGATGAATAGTAATTTTAGATAATTTTAAAAGATTTTTCTAAAGGTTTGCTTACAGAGATTTGAGATTTATTGAATTTTTTTAGTCCAAACTTTACGACATTTTTTATGTTTATCAATAACAACAATCAGAGTGTGATATCAAAAAATGGGATCAACGTATCGATCAATGAATAAGTATCCTTATTCCATCCAAACGAGAAATAAACAAGCAAATTGATGATAAACAAAAGTTGAAAAAAGAAAAAGAAGAAATAGGAGTTTCCTGGAATTGAATTTTACAAAAAACCCAAAATTGCTTACTTGTTGATGAGTTGAGTCTTCAGGGAAGAATTGGGTTTTGTTTTCTCGGGATGGCCTTTCCTTCTTGTTAAGTATTCCAATATCTTTTGGATGAAACTGTTCTTTCTCCGCATTTTTGCTAGAATTAATCCCAAAAAGACTGAGATAACGCAGAGACCAAGACAAAGCAGAACGAACCAACCTGGAAAGAGTTTGTAAAGGATTTCTTTCTAAACTATCCCTAGTTTGCTCTTCTTTTCTAAAACATGAAACTACCGTAATCTTGATTCTACTTTTATCTTTAGATTGACTGGATAAAACTAGAGACAAGATTACGGTGTTTTTCGAATGTTGGCACGTTTTAGAAAGCATACTATTGTAGAAGAACACATCGCTAGTACATATGCTAAATCCAAATCCGAACAGGCGCCCTGTTCCGGACTGGACGTCTGAATCCAAACAAACTCAAAATAAATGTAAATGAGCTTTTTAGATGCTTCTTAGATAAATCTTTTCATTGTTTATTTTTCTCTTAGATTATGATTTAAAAGTTCAATATTTATCCAAAACAATCAACAAACCATGGAAAAACCATTAACAGCATTAACAAATAAATAAGATAAAACAACAATGTTAGCAAAACCAAAGCAAAAGATGCTACAAAAAAAATAAATCTATCGACAACTTCTTTCGCCATCTTTATCTTGAGGGCTATCAACGAAACAAATTGTGTAAGATGGTCCTAAAATAAGAAACATTAAACAAAAGCGAGTAACAAAAGTAGAATTTGGATAAAGTAATCTCCCGATAAACGAAGATAAATTTGTACACTGCATCAGGAACGCTTTGCATATCAATGAGATCGAGTTGACATCGATCATTTTGTCTGCATGAAACAATCCGCTTGACCACGACGCCTTTTTTTGGTAGCTTCTTCTTGAGTTGGCATTCTTTGCATTGATCGGTAAAAATTTTCTTAAAAACGTTCTTTGAAATTCCGTAGTAGCCTCGTAGAGATTTCCACATAAGCCTGATCGCAGCATGTCCGAGTTGTGAATGTTTCTGCCTTGTCAATTTGCAGAGATTCTCACGTTTGATGACTTGTTTCCCTCTTCTTTGATTTCTCCGTGATGAAGAATTACTGGTGTTGTGTTTTCGGTGAAAAGGAAATAGCGTCAATGAAGATTCCTTTTGTCCTGTAACTCCGAATTCGGCTTGCATTTCAATTTTTCAATCATCCACTCGTATTTTTCCTTGCTGGGGAAACAATAGGACCGTCGAGCTTGTAGCAATCTATCGATTCGTTCCTTGCAAACGCGGATCATCTTAAAGAACAAAATGCTATTAGAAAACTGAAAGAGTAAACAATAGCACACAAAAGCATACGCGGTAAAACAGATAGGGTTAGCGCAGTAAACATATACAGCGAGTTTTTTGTGCCAAATTCTTTCAATTTGAGCAAAATTGATGTCACTTTCAGATTCAGCGTCTTCGAAAACCCTCAGGATAAAGAAATAAGAAGAAAATGAGGGAAAAAAGGCTCATTTGCATTTACTTTGTTTGTTCGGATCGGGACGTCCAGTTCGGAGAAGGACGCCTATTCGGATTCGGAAGTAACACATACTTGTGACCATACTACTATACATCTTCACTAGAACCAGAAATTTTGCTTACCCAGTAATGGAATCGTTTCCGACCGAGGAATATTATCAGAAACCACAGAGAAAGTGATTGAAAGAGCCAGCATTGAAGCCATACCGATGTTGATCTGAATGATTGCGAATTCTGAAGCAAACTGGTGGCTTTAAAGGTTAAATATTTGATAAAGGAGCTAAAACGGTGAAAAATTAAGAATATTGTAATCTTAGACTCACTGGTTCCACCGAATCTTCCCTTGAATCTGGCAACATGGCACCGGCAATGGTGAGAGTTGTGATCAAAGCAGCCGGTAGAACAATTACCACAGTGTAATAAAACGTTTCTCTCTCTAATGTTGTGATAAAGTAAATCTAAAGTTGCCTTGTCATAAAATTTCTGGCAAAGCTTTACTTTGTTAATCTCTTCAATGAATTCAGCTTTAATCGTGGCAGTGGTGTAGTTAATCACTTGAAATTCGGCGTTTCCCTAAAAATTTTAAAAGCTAAGAACTTTAAATAAGGAAACTTTTTGGAATGGAAATTATATAATTTAAAAGAGGTATAGAGAAATGAAGCCCTTAATCTTGGTTGCATTTATCTACCAAAAACTTCCCGATTGGTGGTGTACAAGTCATTTTAGAGCCTCTTGAATAAGCTCTGGGCGGTCACTTTTCGGTCCACTGCCATTTTTGGCGATTTGCTTAATACAAATTTAATTGGAGAAAGCTTTTTAAAAGAGCTCATCCGAGAGGCTGTAAAATGAGATTCAAATGATATAAAATAGAATTTGTTTGGATCGAAGAATCCTAAGAAAATCAAGATGGAAGATGTTCAAGTCAAATCGCAACAAAATGCAAACCATTGCTTTATGATCCAATGACTTAATTCCCTAAAATCTCATCAACGTTTGATTGATGTTCAAATTCTCGATGTCCACATCACAGAATTGAATGTCGAATGGAAATCTGAGCCTTGATTGAAAAGGATTTTAAACGAAAAACCTATTTGTCCTAGTTCCACAAATCGTTTTCGAGTAATAGATATCAGCAATTGTCACCGTTCCATCACTTCTCACTTCAACATCATCTTCGACATTTCCATCATTCACCCGTTTTGTTTCAACACTGAAAAGTTTTAGGTTTCTTCATTGCAATATTGTTTCAGCACGAGCGCTAAGACTGAATGTCTTTTGAATTATTCAATGAAACTACAGTAGACCTGGCTATTTTTGTTACGACTTTCTGTAGTGACTAGTATTCTATACTGAACCAACCGTATCAATTAAGTACTTAAACTTAAAGTTGATATCTCTAGCAGATTATCTGCCCAAAATATATATATCACTCACGCGTTTGCAATTTGAAATGTCGGAACCCAAAGTTCGCTCATCGGCAAACAGATAAAATTGGCATTGTTGAAGTCTTTTGGATCGAAACGAAGACGGTCATCTCGCCAAGTCTGAACACAAATCAGCGTAACCGCAGGAGTCAGTCTTTTAGTATAGTATTTTTAAGTTATCAAATTTATTCAACTTTTGATATTTTTTTAAACATTCACCATAACGATTGCATAAAGAAACGAGGCCATGAGCTCAGTTCCGAAAAATTGCTGAAGTTTGAGATTTGGAATCGAAAAGTTCACCAAAACTGTCTGCTGATTTCTAAAGTTCGATTTCAAAACGTAAAAGATTTATAATCACATGAAATATGGATTCAATCTCTTGTCGTAGTTTTTCAAGAGATCGGTGGGTATCAAGGTGGACCCTAAAACGTGATAGATTGGCTTTTCAAGTTTTTTTTTTGGTAAATGCATCCCTTCTGGTGCATTCAGTTCTTTAAAATCCCGGCAGACAAATCGCTTTTGCTAAAGAAATAGAGAATTTAGTGCGCCAGGAAGCGTGCGTTTCTGTTTTTACAAGTACGCGACATAGAAAATGTTAATCAAGTTCGGAGATCAGCCCTAGGACCTACGCTTGATCAGAGTCAGGTCAAGTCTAAATCTGTCAGATCTAAGAACTTTTTGCGGACCAGGTATCATGCTTTTTGAAACAACATTGCCATCGACATACACATTGCAAAGAAATAAGAAATTATGGTGAGAAACATATGCCAATTTTAAGCATAGACAAGCTTTTTAAATTTTTCGAATCTACTTAAAAGTCGTGAATGTAAAAGGGAATTGCATCTAGTATTTCCCTATTTACTCAAACACTTGATCGCTACTTGTTCGCGGAAAATTTTGGGCATTTTGGCTGAGTTTTCACTCATCAGAATCACTGGAGTTTCAAATTTTTGTGATCTCTGTAATAAAATGAAACTTGGACTTTGTTTATGACCAATTGATTGTTGAATAGGACCAAGTTACAACCCCAAAACCCAGCAACGCCTTATTCAGATCAACATCGGTCTCGCCTCGTTACTCGCTTTGGCTATCACACTCACTGTTGTCGCTGATAACATTCCAAGAACGGCTACAGTTCCATTAATTGGTGAGCTGATAAAAGTCTATATTGATAAACTTTAATGAACGACCGATCAACAAAAGTCTAGGCTGGTTTGTCTTGATTTGCATTGCTTTGTGTATTCTATCAGTGTTGGCTGGCCTAATCTTTGCAAAAATCGAGGAGTTCGTCAAAAAACACGATCATCTACCCGTGCCAATCGATCGTTTTATGTGTTTCTATCAAACGAAACTTTCAAAAGTTGTCACAAAGAAGCCATTTCCGCCAGAGGAAATTATTAAAACGTTGGTTTGGATTCGCAAATTTTACTACTTTGATCCCAGCATTGACTTGTTTCCAATCCATCAAACACATAAAAGTAAAAGCAAAATATTTGAGATTATCATTTGCCCTATTCCTTCTGATGCAAGTGTTGCTATTCTGCAATTTGATGGTGTTCCTCTCATTTGATTGGAACAAAAGAGCCGCGTTGGAAAATTGGGTCAAAACAGACGACATGAAAGTCTATGATGAATTGGAGAAATGAAAATCGATTGGAGATGGTTTATTGAATAAACTTTTGGCACAGATTTCCTTTGACAATGATTGTTGATCGTTGAATATCGTTGTCGTATGCTATTTGTAAGCTTTTGGTTTTCACAGATTGGCAAATTTTACCCAACAAAATGCTGCAAGTTATTGTCGTTGGCTTCTTTGTGCAAAAAGGTAACAATTTTTCCATTTTCTTTGATAAATTTGCCCAGTGAGCTCGTTGTTACCCGTTTCTTTGCTGGAGAATTATGATAAAAGAGTGGCTCCGTACGATCTGTAAGTTTAACTCAATACTGTAACCCCATCGTTAACTTCAACTCTACCAAGAATGATCTTATCCATTGTCTATTTTCTGATTCAATTTAGCTTCTTTTAGACAAAATGAAACCCTTGTCGTGAACATCTCCTTACCATTGTTCAATTTGATGCTCGTTCATGGACAAGAACAATTGGCCACGCTGATTTTTGAAACAAGATTGGTTAGAAGGCTTTTGAGAAGTTATTTGGAGGATTTGCTCCCGTCTAATCTTTAGGAATGGTACGATGACCGCCTCAAATACAATCCCGCCGATTTCAACGATCGCCATGAGCTCTACCTGCCAAAGGATGAAATTTGGATTGCTCACTACAGCCTTCTTTATGCGTAAGGGACAAATATTGTTGTGAGTTAACAAGAAAAAATAAAAATTCAGTGTCGAATCAAAACTTCTGACGAATAAAAGAGGTGACACGGCTCTTGTCGCACCAAATGGACGAGTGGTGATAAGAGAGATGTACTATGCAAAAGTTGGATGTTATGCCCGGATTCAGAGGTAGAGCAAACGAATAAGGCATAAAGTGACATAAACTGTGTCATCGTTATTGGTTTTATTCTTCAGATTCCCATTTGACACTCAATATTGTGCCGTAGTGTTGGGCGATACGATCACTAACACCTCCACTGTTGTCTTTTCCGGAAAGCTCTTCCCAAAAGCTGAAGTCTATGTAAAGGTACAAAATATCCGACAAGCTTTTTCAACTCTAGGGCAATGGCGAGTTCTACATGCAAAATTTCAGCGTTCTTTCAGTGAAACCCGGGCAGAAGAACTTGCCGAGCAAAGTGAGGATTCGTTAAGGTCAAGGGAACTATATTTTTATAGATTTTCTTCTATGCGACGTTTGAGCGAGACTCCTTCTATTTCGTTTTCGTAATCGTCATCCCGGCCATACTCATCACGAGTTTCACAATAGCTGGAGCTTTACTACCGGCACCGGGAGAGCAAGCAGCGGATCCGGTGACTTTTTTGATAACTAATCAAAGTTATACTAGGTACTTGCAAAAGAAACTGGAAAGGAAAGAAAAGATTATAACCAACATTCGAACAACCCAAAAATCAATAAGAAAACAATTTTATTCCAAAAGAATTCACCATTATGATCAACTATGTTCTCCCATTTTTTGTGTCGACTTCGGATGCCTAATTCGCCTGATTCGCCTGATTCGCCTAATTCGAAAAATTCGGGGTCCCGCGACGCAAAGTAGGCTTGCACTCAAATTTCGACTTCTTGAGGATTGTTAAACTTTTGATGTGCAAGAGAGTGCTGCAAAGATCCCAAAGTAATGGTAATCTGAGGGAGCAATATCAGGCGAATGTGGCGGATGAGGCACAAGTTCCCAGCCTGATTCTTCGATCGTCTTTTGAGCCAAGTTTGATATGTGAACCCGGGCATTGTCAGCGAGCAAATGAATTGTCTTTGGATTAAAACCTTAAAGAATTCCGTCAACTTTCTTCAGCTGTTCGGTGCAGATTTGAAAAGTTATAGTTTTTGAAGCTTTTTGTAATTCAAAATAAACGATTCCTTTCATATTCCAAAAGACCAACGGCATAACTTTCTTTTCGTAGTGAAATCGGCCTTTCTCCTTTGCTCAACCATTATCTTTTGCCTGCTGTATTATCGAAATATATCCACTTTTCGTCCATCATCAACATGCTTTCAAAAAACACTGTCCATAGCCTTTTTCAATAGGATTCGAGACAATAAAACTGGATTGACGCACTGAAGCAGGGTTGAAGACTGAAGCAATCCGCAGTTTCTTTTGCAAGAACCTAACACTACACTGTGGGTTAAGTTTGTGTACTTTGTACTCAAAAATACCCTTTCATTCACATCTCTCATCTCTCCTTTTTCAGATCAACATCGGTTTGGCCTCTCTATTAGCCCTCTCAATCACGATGACAATAATTGCCAATGATATCCCGAAAACATCAGTCGTTCCACTAATTGGTGAGTAACAAACCAAAGCAAGAAGTTCACTAAATTTAGGTTGGTTTGTTCTGGTCTGTTTGGGGATTTGTACATTCTCTGTCCTTTCTGGTCTAATATTGGACCGTATTCGAATGAAAGTAAGGGCTGGAGAAATGCCGGGAATCTGCCGAAAATTGATTCTTTCCCAAAAAACAGCACAAGAATCAAGAATTCGATTGGAGAAGATGATTGGAATGTGAGTTTTTCCAATGTGCAAAAGTTTGAAAATTTCAGGATTTCCTTCATCTTTTTCCTCGTTTTCCAACTTTTCCTCTTCATCAACTCAATGGTGTTTTTCTCGTTTTCGTCGTGGAACAAAGATCTTTACTCGAAAATCGATGACATGGATGCAACCGATGCTTTCGATTTAATCTTCACAACGACTTTCATTTTCGATGAATAAATCTTGTTAACCCAACTAGATTATGGTTTTTCATTTTCATCTAGTTCAAGTTCAAGAGGCGGCCAAAGGCAAACACTGAGCCGTTTTTTCTCGATGAAATTGAGGCAATCGTGAAAATTTGCTCTTCAGAAACACCAACAGAACAAATTTTGCAACTTTAGAAAATATTTTAAATTCTGATTGCATTCTTGGCTAATCAAAACTCTTTCATGATTTTCAGAATTCGCGGGGAAGTCTTCTCGTTCTAATTCTTTGACCGAACATAAATAAAGCCCAAAAACCTTTTTATTCGAGACAAAATCAACAAAACCACTTCGCAGATATCATTTTTCATTTCACTTGTCGAAAGGATTCGACTTTTTGAGTTAAAACAGTTAAACCTAATGTTTTTGCTAATTATCACCTTGTGTAATGTTTATCGCGGTAAGTTGTAGATATTTTTAAGATAAAATCAGTTTTTAGTATCAGCATTGTTGCCCACATCCTTATTAGAAGGATACGATAAACGACTGGCTCCTTATGACATGTAGAGTCAATTTTTAAGCTAAAATTTATTATTTTCAGCAATGAGAATCACTTACTTGTTGTGAATATCTCAATGCCGATGATGCTTTTGATGACAGTTCATGGACAAGAACAAATGGTCACATTGCTATTCGATTTCCGTCTGGTAAGTTAAATTGAGAGAAAGCTCAACTTTTTCCAAACCCCGACTTCAAAAACCTTCAAAAAGCTGCCCTAAAGCTAGGGCTAGAAATCGGAGGCTAGAGCTTCGAAGAGTCGACCACTCAAATTCGGTGACTTCGGAGAATATGGCATGACTAGGGAAGGCTGTATAGATAAGCGAAGAAGGGATAGTTAGGTAGATGAATATCTGGGGTATACGGCGGTTGTACAGGGTGTTCGAAAAAGAGTCACTTTGTGTCAAATTTCTAGAAAATTTTAAAAGACTCAAAGTGGTAGGTTTGGTGGAAAAATAATTTTTTTTGGGTCACAGATTTTTGATATTTTGTCATGATTTTTACCATATTCTGGTAAAAATCTCTCTCTCCTATACAAGAAATTTCCCATACCACCACCATCATAAGACAAATATTTTTCTAAAGTGCCTTTTTTAAGTTTTTATTTCTTTTCCTTTTCTAATATGTTTTTGTAAATAATTAGCTAAACGAAAGGCGACTAAAAAGCTTTTTTCTGTTGTTTTTGGCATTATAAAGAATGATTAGTGTAAATAAAGTTTTAGAAAAAGAATTGCCAAATAAAAAACAGATATTCTAGAAGAAAATCGTTTACAAAAACTGCCTCAGAAAAGACTTTCTTGCCAACCTAATACTAACTAGGTTAAGGATTACGGTAGCCGAATAACGCTTTAAAGAATTTGAGAAAGTTTTATCTATAGAATAAAATCTATACCAAATGTGTCTCAAGATCAATCTCCTTTATTGAATAGGCGTATTTTCAGGGATTTCAATTCAGTAGTAAAGATCGATAAAAAGATAATTTTCCTAAGAATAACTATTCACTAATAACTGTATTCACAAATAGCAGTCACCATTTCAGGATTGGATCGACGAGCGTCTACGCTTTAACTCATCAAATTTCGACAACCGAACCGAACTATATTTGCCGGCGAGTGAAATTTGGACTGTTCCGTATAATCTTTTGAATGGGTGAGGATGAAGATGAAATCTAAAAGAAACACAATTAGAGTTGAATCAAAACTTCTGGCAAACAAGCGGGGTGATATCATTCGAGTGAGACAGAATGGACATGTCGTTCTTCGAGAAACCTATTACTCAAAGGTTCAATGTGGAACACGAGTTGATCGGTGGAAAGATTGAAGAAACTAAAAACAAGATCCTCTTTCAGATTTCCATTTGACATTCAATTTTGTGGGATTATCATTGCTAATCTGGCCACCAACCGCAGCACATTACAATTCGTCGGTCAATTGTATCCGGGCGCGGACATGGGGGTGAGATTGTGAACTGACTGTTCGATTTCTATAACTACCATAATCCTGTAATATAAAATCCACAGTATATTAGGGTAACGAGGAATTTTGGATGACGAACTTCAGCGCTCTATCAGTGAAGCCAAGTAAAATTGAAAATGAAAATCATGTGAGTTGCAATAATCCATCAAATTATAGTCTTTTAGGTTTATTTTTGGATAACATTCGAGCGAGACAGCTTTTATTTCATTTTTGTCATCGTTATCCCGGCAATTTTGATCACAACACTCACGATCACCGGGGTTTTGCTGCCGGCTCCCGGAGAGGTCACAGCTGATCCGGTGAGAGCTAGAAAGCTCTTTGTAATCGTAAAATGGAAACAATACTTGGTTAACTTCAATTAACAAACACTTATTCTTAATGGCAAGACATTTCCAGCTTCATAACCAAGTAATTTCCCACATCCAGGTCAACATCGGTCTCTGCTCTTTACTCGCCCTTTCAATCACTCTCACCGTTGTGGCTGATAACATCCCAAGAACAGCTACAGTTCCATTGATTGGCAAGTTTGATCAGACCTTCTTTAATCAATCGACTCCAGGCTGGTTTGTGCTCGTTTGCTTATTTCTTGTATGTTTCTCTGTAATCGCTGGTCTGATCTTCGATCAACTTCGAGCTAGAGCCAAAAATGAGGAGCTTTTACCCGGTGTATTCGATTCAATGATTCGAATGTATCAGGTGAAATTGCACCGCGAGAAAAGTCCGATTTCACCAAGGAGGGTCATTTCAGTGTGAGTTTGAGTCGAAAACAGTCAAAAATTGGGTCGGTTTAGTGATATTCCTATTGAATTGACAATGGCTTTCATTACTTAATTGAAGTGCAAGGCTTAATATGATGGCTTAAAAACTAGAGACTTTTGTCCCACTTTTTCAAGGGGACTTCCAAAAATTCGTTGATACTCATAATTGTTCGTCTGCACGGAAATCTTTAGTAAAAGGCGAAAGATTTTCTCGGTCAAATGCGGACGAACCAGAGATTGAAAAGGGAGGAAAGGAATCCCTATAAGTGGAGGGCGTTAGCCAGAAAGCGATCGATTACGCTCCCGCACCAAGAACATGTTCATTAAGGGTCGCGCTTGTTCCGCCAAAAATCAAGAGCCTTTCCATGATTGAAAACTTTCAGATTCTCATTCCTTCTATTCTTGTTGTTACAAATTTTGCTTTTATGCAATTTGATGGTTTTTCTCTCATTTTCGTGGAATCGCGACACTTACTCGAAAATCGATGAAATGGATAACACCGATATGTACAATATGGTCTTTTCGACTGAACATGATCTTGGATATTTTTGAAAGAATGCAATGTATAAAATTTGGAACTTTTCAAAACCATTTGATATCTTCATTCAATGATATTTCAAGGATTTCCAATTTAATTCCAAGAAATTGTGGAAAAATTTTGGAGAAGGCTTTAGGAACAAATTCCAGGAACTGTAGTTGAAATTGCAAGGTCAACTTTATTTGAAAAGATTTATTGTCACACCTTTTCTGACTATGAGTTCTAAAAAACAATGTTAGAATAAGGGTTTCTTTTTACACATGAAACCATTCCATCTCATCGACGGATTGATCATTACCGGATCCGTGTACCAGGCAGCCTCAGTGTGTGGACCACAGCGAATGCAACATCTGAAATTTGAAAGGGATCAATTATCCACTTTTTAGAAAGTGCATTAATCACTAGGAACACACTTTACTCACCACAGTAGCCACTCGATCCGATGTCATCGCCATGCCTCCCCAAATCAAAGTGATGTAATCGAAAACCGCTCTCAAGTCAAAGTCGTTATACGTTATAACTCAATAATTATTGACCATTTGTTTTTGCAAAGCATTCAGTAATGAACATTATTCTTGCCACTTATGCAATTTGATTAGCTCTAGAGATTTCGTAGTTTCCATCATCAATGTATTGAAAGCCTTGTCCCCTCTTTGAACAGATGTACTTTGTGCTTCCCCATAATCGCCCCCTTTCTGGCATACTCCTTTTCCGTATATCCCTTCCTTTCCTCCTATTCCAATCTCTGGTTCGTCTGCATTTGACCGAGAAAATCTTTCGCCTTTTACTAAAGATTTCCGTGCAGACGAACAATTATGAGTATCAACGAATTTTTGGAAGTCCCCTTGAAAAAGCGGGACAAAAGTCTCTAGTTTTAAAGCCATCATACTAAGTCTTGCACTTCAATTAAGTAATGAAAGCCGTTGTCAATTCAATAGGAAGTGGTGATTGTTTGCCCGAGTTCACAGGTTAGCAAAATACCCACATTCTTGCACATATCAAAATCATTATAGATCGACGATTGCCAAAAAGCTACGCCGCTAGAGGTTAACTTAGCGTGACCTAGTTTGGAGAACTGTCGAAACACGTGGGCAGCTTAAATTTTTATACATATTACAACAATGCATCAGATCCGATTGCCCATTCGATTTATTGTCGTCAACATTAGTTCTTTGTGAGATTCCTTTGAAAAAAGGCCAGCTGATTCTCGATCTAATACACATGGACTTTGAAAATGACATATCCTTTGTCGTTCGACTTATTGAATGGAAAACAAGTAACACTGTTACACAAAAATAATTCAAGCTATTTTAAGTTACAGCTGATTTTGTCCTCCATATGTTTTCCCATCAAGAAGCTCAACGGAAAAGTCCTACATTGAGTGGGAGCCACTTGGAGACTAAAGAAAAGCCAACCTGGGCCACATTTTCCATACCAACCACTTTGACGAGCATTTTGAAAAGTGCACGATGGGTAAGTGGCTCAAAAATGAGCATCAACACTTAAACATATAACTACCATGACAGATTTATCTAGGCTCATGGTAAACCCGGGTGTGAGTACAGTCTGATTTCCGGGCCACCCACGAGAAATGCTTCCAAAGTTAACGAGAGGTTCATTATGACGTTGAGGTAATAAGGAGGTTGCTAGAAAAAATAAAAACTTAGTCATTACACCCCACACACATTACATTACCTACATTAAACATTAACTTGTTAAGAGATCAAGACATCTTTGTCCCACAATTTCTCCGAATGCAACTCTATAGTCTATTGATTCCGGCCAATTGCACGCCGAGCATTGGAATCGAATTAGTCAACCGTAATCTAAAACCAAAATTTTCTCGTTACATAAATGTTCAGTGACCAGTGTACGTCATAGGACGCTCAGCGCCGACAGTACTCGCGAGCACTGTAGTGGTGTGCTAATGGTGATGGCGGTCGGCTACCAGAATCCCTATCAGCTCCAATGGCAAGATGACATAGAAGCAAATCCCAGATATCTAGACGATCGTATCATTTGCAGTATTTGACTTTCCCTAAAATTTTTCACATTTTTCTTAGATCAGTACGCTTTAAATGTGACTGTTGAGGTGTTGGCGATTGGGAATGGAAATCTCGCGATCTGGGCCCTGCCCAATCAGAAGACAGACAATCAAACTGCAATTCCGTTGGTTTCAATTTAAAGTTTTTAGGATCCTTATCTTAATCCTTGTCTTATTGAGTCATCGTTTTGTCAGTGATGAGTAATTTGGGATTTTAGTCTAAACATCACAAAAAAGCTCAACTTTGAAGCAAATGTGTCTGGAGTACATGTGAGTTCTTTGTTGCGCGACTATTCGACTGTTGAAAACGAAGATCACTTTTAGGTGCATTGGGATCCGATTGGCGACACAAAAGATGGGTGTTTAGTGAGAATACGGTCGACTCCTCTCATCCCACGAGCACAAGTCTCCCCCACAGTCACTCCTAAATCGTTTTGTGCCCAGCCAACACATTCAGTTTTCATTCTATTTCTATTAAACTTATGTATGTATTTTTGTTGAGCTTTACTTGACAGCACGGTTTATTAGCTAAGGGGTTGATCAAATTTGTAATCCGATTGTTTCTAGCTAAATATTTAACTGGAAGCTTTTTTATTAATTCCTGCTTTTCGTTGTTCAATTTTTTGTGTGTTCAAGTTAAAAGTATCTCTATTTTTTGAATTTTTCCTTTCCTATGCTCGACTCTCAAAGATTTTGCCTGCAATTTTGCAGAGGAAAAGGGAAAATGAACTATTTTTATGAGAATTTTCTCAGCTTATTCAAGAGATAATGTTCAGCAAGAATACTTGAAAAATTTAGACAAAAGAGAACGAGACTAAATGGGTCATAAATGGGATTGCCCATTTAAAGAAGCATAAAAAAAGTTGGATTTTTTGAATAAAACCTCCCTTCAGATTTTTGAAAGCAGAATTTTGATAAGAGAGTACTTAAATTTCTTTACTTAAATTCCGATCACTCTTCGAATCAAGTCTATCATTTCTTCTATTGCAAATGTCGAATTGGAATTGGGATATTCCATCGGATCAAGCGAATTGTAAGTTTTTAAAGTAAATAGATACAGTTTTTGTTTATCAATTGTGAATCAAAGATAATCTTCTTTGTTTGTAGAACAAGGGCCATCCTTGTTCTTGATGGATGAAAAGTTTGGGGAACCCATTTGTTGAGAATTCCTCCTAGATCGAGGTCATCCCCCACAACCGCCACCTTCATCTGGTCTAGAGAGAACTCACCAACATCCTCAACCCGTCCATCAGCAAAAACAGGTTGTCTTTTATACAGGGCAAATAAATAAAGACTTTTTAGGGTTACATTCCCAACGTTCAATCACAAGTGCCCCCAGGAACTCAAGTGGTCTATATTGAACGGCAAGGTGGACCATTTTACCACACTACCCGTTGATTTATATTATGTAAATCAAAAGATTTTTCAGCTCCAGCAGTTTCGCAAACGAAGTACTTATGCACTCTGATAGCCATTTCATCTTTCTTCCCGATCGCATGGCCTTACATGGGTAAATTAATACACGAATCCATCACAAATATCTAGCGCTTTCAAACTTTTAATATTAGGTTGATGCATAAGTCTTTTCGTTTTTTTCGTACTTCTGTTAAAAAGTAACAAATTCACCAATTAATCTATAGGTTGCTCTATAAAAAAAGTGTTTTTTTGTTCAATTTGCATCTTTTTAAATCAATTTCGGTTCACTTTCAAGCAAATTCGAGAGTGAAAAACGCCTTTTTCGTAAAAATCTATAAAAAAACTCTACGGAAAAATTGGCTGAATGAATTTCTCTGAAATTTTGGCGAAATATCAAACGTTTTTTTTCTCTATCTTTTATCTATTGACACGAAGATAGGTTTTCTTTAGCTAAGGTGTCTAAACCGCATCATCGAGTTAGCCCTTTTTGACTACCCGACTTGATACTCTCAAGAAAATCCAGGCATAAAATATTTTTAAACCCGTTTTAATGTTATTTTGCAGAAAAATAATTGGTTTTTCTAATGAAATCAACTGTAGTTTAATTGGTGCATTTGTTGGCTTGAAACGGCAGACGAAAAGGAACAAAAACACTTATGCATCAACCTATTAGAATAGAGTGTAGTATAATATGATAAAAGAACCAGAGCCTGTTGTTGTTTGTTGTTTTTTTTTTGTTTTAAGCCTATTGTTTTAAGCTACCTTTTTCCTATTTTCTAGGACTCTATCTGATGGTGAAGGCTTGTCGAGGCGATCTTGGAACTCATCGATGGAGTTACTTTGCTTGTGGACTCGCGCTGGTGACGCTCTTCACTGTCTTTCTCATTCTAACCATTGTACTCATCGTTTTGGCTTTTAAAAACAATGATGATGATGATTACTAATTTTGTAATAAAAGTGTATTTTCATTTGCGTTTTTGTACTAACTTATAAATTGATGCACTTTATCAGTGTACTTTAAACGGCATACACTAAATCTCAATCACAAATCTACCAAATCTCAACAGTTTTCTTTAATTTCTGGCTCTTTTTAAAATTTTATCATATAAACATAGCATTCAATGCTTACAAAATTAAAATTAATACAATTCTCTGCAAAAACTGCCCCGGTTTATTCATATATTCATATCCTGTACCTTTCTCATTGACTTGGATTATACAGAAAACTTTGACCCAGGCAATGAGGTCGAAAAGGATCAATTTGAGCCCTCAATACCATCTGTACTCGATTAATGATGGCCCGATAAGCCTTTTTCTTTGCGGATAAATAACAGTGCAAGGTCTAAAAAAACCAAATCAACCAGTTTGACTTGACCAGTTTGACTTGACAGTGCGACCAGCGACCCTGACCGTTTGTTGACCGTGACTTGCCAGTTTGCTTGACCAGGGACCAGTGCTGACCTTTGCTTGACCAGTTTGACAACCAATCAACCAAACAATTTGACTCAAATTTTGATCTACAATACTAGAAAAGCAGGAAATCCCGAATTTATTCTCAGAATTAAAAAGTCATTTGTTGCGACAACTCGAGAAAAATTCAAAAATGATATTCACTACAATAAAGATTTTGCACCCTGATTTTGCTGATGTTGAAAATAAAGTTGTGCAAAACCCTAATATTTAACTAAATTTGTTTACCATTTCTCCTTTTTCAAGTTTTTGCTCACATTTTTATGACACTTCTACATAAAAAGCCTATAATTCTTTTCTTTTTTACTATCACATCCTTTTAAAAACCATCCTGTTCATCGAAATACGAGAATATAAAAGATGATATCAAAAGACCATCGTGTGCCTAAAAAGGAGGGAGTTTTCGAATACGAAGGTGATAAAATATCGAGAAGGGAAATAAAATCGTTTGCCTAGAATCACCATCCCACAGTTCTCTCAAAACCCCAATCTTCTGAAGCTGAGCATTCACAATGCGGTGTATCCTCTTGTTCTGTTCTCTCATCGGGCTCACTTTTGCCGTTTCTTGTTGGTCGGACAGTAGTGACAACGAGAAGCACACGAAAGAGGTAGTTTTAAAAATTTCATGTTCAGATCAATGTTTGTAGAACTAGTACAAATTATCCAATGTTAGCGTGTTGTACTGGTGAAAGCAAGCATAATTTCATAACAATCTGCAGTGAACTGTTACTGGTCCCACTTGACATTTCACAGACAGCTCAGCCCCTAAAATGGAAACAGAAACTAATTCTAGTTCAACGTCAGTTTTTATGTTAAGCAAATTAATCCTATATCTTTTTAAGAAAAAAGTGATGGACTGTGGAAGCGATTGCAATTATTGTGCAAAGGGTACCGGAAAAGTGAGTTTTGTTTTGTGTTGTTGTGGAATAAGTGAATTTCAGTTCAAAGCTGGGACGATAAATGGCAAAACGAGCGGTTCGCTTTGGTTGTGCGGTTGTGGATTGGAAATTATAACTTTGACCGGGGTCGAGTGCAAGGTTGTTCACAAATTGTTTTATTTGTTGTTCACAGATTCACAGATTCAAACTTCATACAGATTTAATCTTTAAGTGGTTGTGGAAATAAAATCTATCTTTTTACCATTTAATTTTAAAAATTTAGTTATTTTTCCTTTAGGACAAAGGCTCGCAGAGTGTTTCGAATGCTTACGTCGACGGTACACTCTACTGCTGCAAGGGAAAGAAGTGCAACACGGCCGCCACTCACTCGCTTTTCATGCTTTTCCTCGTTTCACTATTTGCAGTTCAATTTTAACCGTTAGCAAAGTGAAACAGTACAAAAATAAATCTGTTAAACTATTGAATACATTTCATCGCTGGTGAGTCATCTATTTCAATCATATGCTTGACAATGCTTGACACATGCTTCATTTTCAATGCAATGTAATTTATTTCATGAAAAATCACTGGTAAACGAGCACAGGAAACAGTTTGAAGCTTCACAAAATCGACCTTTTCCTTTTCCAAATCGTGCGAGATGCAGTAGTTATCAGTCGAAAATTAAAAAATTGATTCTAAAACGGTGAATATCAAATAATAACCAACAAAACTGGCAATTTCCCTCAAAATTAACATCAAATGCCAAAAGTCCCCTATTATGTCTTTTCTAAAAAATCAAAAATGTTCTTAGTGAATATCACTTTTGAATTTTTCTCGAGTTGTCGCAACAAATGACTTTTTGATTCTGAGAATAATTATGGGATTTTCTGCTTTTCTAGTATTGTAGATCAAAATTTGAGTCAAATATTAAACAAGCAGCGATCCGAGTACAGAAAACAAGCCTTTTTTCTAAAAAAAAAGTAAAAACAAACAAACAGAAAACAAACCTTTTTTCTCTTAATAACTCTATTTTTAGTAAACTACGCGGTTTTGCTGCAATTTTGTTTTCTGAATGATTTTGCTGACGAAAACACTGTGATTGTGATTACCGTGTGAAATTCAGAAAGAGAGACGGCAGGAAACGAAAGAGACTGTTTCCTCAATTGTAGTAAAATTTTTTAAACTTTACTCCTTTTAGATATTTTACTGGAGATTTTACATTTTACTTTACTAAATTGGACTAAATAAAAAGTGTTATGACAGGGATTTGGTATTGCCGAATACATCGTTTATTACCGGAAAAGACATTTAAGTAGCTTCCAAAAACTTGTGAATCAATATTTTTTTGAAAGCACTTGAAGTTGAGCCTTTTGCGTACTCTAGCTTTCATTGAATGTTCCAAGCTCTAAATTATACAAAGTGAAGAAATTCACAAACCCATAATCTCCGAATTACAGCCTCTGGGCCCCTCATTTATCCCAAGATCAACCCAAATACACAAAATTTTCACTTTGTTTTTTTATTTTAATTCAAATTTAGATTATTTTAAAACTTGCGACATTGATTTGAAATTAGCAAAATTAACAATGAACATTTGGGCTCTGATTTTTCGGTGAGTGGTTGATATTTTTCTTATAAAAATTAAAATGATAGAAATAAAAAAAAGTTTAATTTAATAAAGTTCTAAATTCAACTTCGAATTCAGATTGCATGAGCCCGCCTGCTGCGTGAGTACTTTCCTCGCTATTCTCTTCAACGGTCTCCTTTTCTATTTCATCAGTTACAAAACGAAACACGATTTTGGCATTTACAAGAGAATCCTCAAATTCTTGTGTTTATTTAATATTTTCTATTCGATAGTTCAAACGACCACAATGCCGGTTGAAAAAAAGAGAATAAAAATAGATGAAAAGTTCAGCTTTTATACGCGATCGACTTCTATTTGATATCGATTCCCGGCGGTTACTTAATGGGGTTTTTCTCGAAAAATCGTAAGTTTCTTGTAAAGTTGAATAATTAAAGCAGATTCTGACCAACCATTAGATGTACTAAGTGCCCCTTAGAAAAAAGTCCCTTTTAGGAAAGTTTGCAAAAGCACAAATCAAATCAGTTAGTCTAGCTAGATGTCTTCTGTGCACTGTTTAGTCTTAGATCAAGTCCTATGGAGCTGCTTCAACGCTTCGTGCTTTGGGGTGAGCCACGCTGTGCTGGCCGTGCACTTTGCCTACCGCTATATTCAGATTTGCCAGTTTGTTTATTTCTCTTTACTATTCCAAGTTTTTCTAGGTATCACCGTGGCTACCTGTTGACCGGATACTATCAACTCATTTGGGGCAGTTACATGCTGTTGTGTAAATTCAAATCGAGCTTTCTTTCATTAGCAAATCTTTAGGTTTTGGTATTTGGATGGTTGCCACATTCACCTGTTTGTCTCCAACGGTGGACAAGGATCTGTTGGTGTTTCCCGATGTGCTCAAGGCGTACGGCTTTTCGATGGAAAATCGTGGATACATGGGACCTCAATACTGGGTGAGCGATTAAAAGGAACAAAGTCTCATTCATTTTTAGTAAATCAATACGAATTGATGAAAGGTGAGAGTTACTGACAGACTGCTATCATTGTTTAGATCAAAACTTATAAATTGAGAAATCGGAGAAACTGAATTTAATTTAATCCTAGGCAAACACTAAAAATATCTAGAATTATCGATTTTTTTATTAAAAATCAAAAAACCTCTACTTACCCAGGTTCATCGGGGCAACAAATTAGAGCTGCAGTTCAAAGACTGTTTCGGGATGTTTTCCGTTTGCTCGATGACTGGAACTGCAATTATAATGGTGACACTTCGTAATATAATATTATTAATAGCAAATTACAGTAAATGTCACAAAACCATTTTGCAGATGTGCTTCTGCGGCTACAAAACCTACAACGGAATGTCGAATGTGGTGGCCAGTGCAAAGACGAGACGACTGCAGAGACAACTGTTCTACTCGCTTGTAACTTTGGTATAAATACAAAGGAATTATTTAAAATGAAATTTTCAGACAGCCATCCCATTGGCTTTCATCTATGGTCCACTGGTGCTGTGTTTTTTGGGGCCTATCGTTGGCCTTGGAATGGGTCGTTTCGGGATCGTTTACCACTGGCTTTTGACCATTCCGCCATTCTTCGAGCCGATCGTTTTAATCTATTTCATTGGTAAGTTTCATAGAACACATGTACAACGACAAATACAATGGTGTTTTTAAGGTGGATTCTAATTCGGATTCAAATCAAGTTCCTAAAAAGATTAAATGTCCAAGAACTAGTCTAGCTGACCGATCCTTGTTGCAAAAAACTGAATCGCATTCTAGAGCTTTCTAAATCCAAATTTCTAGATTATTTCTAGCCTAGAAAAAAAAAATCGAAAGCATGATGATTAATCTAATCGATCCTTGATCTAGATTCGATCGAATTGGACAAAGTTTTCATAAATTTGTCAGCATGTTAGCCATAGCTTTTCTATTGATCTTACATTAAAAAACAAATGATTGACTTGCTCTGCCAGTCCATGACTTCAATTTTTTAACTCAATCAAGTTCAGGCGACTATCGTCGAGCCGCTTTGGGGATCCTTGGGAGACTTGACTGTTGCTCTCTCTTTCCGCAAATTTGGAGGTCTGTGGCTGGAAAGGGCTCAAAGACGCTCAATGTATTTTGCGTCTAAAAATTGTAGTCTCTCATCGTGTGCTAGGCACATCGTATGCTTTCTCGCGAGTATGGAAATTATTTTTGAACCTGTTTCTGAGAAAATTTTTAGAGTCTACTTGAATTTACATTGTTGCCAAAAATGTGTGTGAATGGAAAAATTTAAACCTTCCTTTTCCTTCTTTGTCCATGTTATCATTCTTTCTTCTAGATTGTCCCTGGTTGCTTTTCTACCATTCAATGCTATTTATGTACCCATTTATATAATCGGTTATAGAGAACAACTGTTATGAACAACTACAAAGAGTTCAGTTGAGCCCAAAAGTAAGATCCAGGGTTTTAAGTTGGGGACTAAATTTCCTTCAGCAACATCCAATTCTTCGGAAGCTGCTGTGTACAGGCTGCGCCAAAATTATGGTAACGCGCCCGAATTATCTCATTTTTTCACTTTTTTACGTATTTGTCTTTTTTTCTGTAATACTTAATTCTACAATTATTTTTCAAGTATGAAATCCTGAAATCCAAAAAGTATCTACGCCCGGCTATCATTTGTCTGCATCAGTAAGGCAAACAAATTGCTGAAATTTTGCAACTTTTGCAAGAGAAGAAAGAGAATGTTTTTCGAGCTATAAAAGGCTTAAACAAAACGGGAACGAATGAAGACCGCAAAGGAAGAGGACGCCCATCTACAGCCAACACTTTGACAAATCGAAAAAAGATCTTCACAAGACTCAAGAGGAATGCAACCACCACAAAGAACTCGACTTGGAAAATCGTCACCGCTATTGGCATCGGAGCAACTTCGGTTCGACGAATCCTTAAAAAACTGGATTCAAGGCAAGAAAACAAATAAAAGGTCATTTTTTGAGCGATGAAATGAAAAAGAAACATTTGGACCGATATAAACAACTAAAAAGACGTTTTGCTGCAAACCGTCATCGTCAGATTCTCTTTACGGATGAGAAGTGGTTTGACGTCGAACAGGCGCATAACAGTCAAAACGACAGAAGCTGATCCAAAAATCCACTTCCATTAAATGCTAGGATTGTTTCAAAGCAACAAATCCATAACAAATAATGGTTTGAGTAGGAATTAGGTACAATGGAAAAACATCATTAATTTTCATACCGCCTGGAGTAAAAGTCGACAAAAAGATGCACTTGGAGATGCTCAAGGATGATCTCGCTCCTGGTCTCGGGCTCATTTTGTAACTAAAAGCTGGACATTTATGCAAGATGGATCTCCTTCTCAAAAAGCTGCCGAAACAAAAGACTGGATAGCCAACAACTTTCCTGTTTGGATTACAGTGGATATCAGCTCGCGGCGCCCAGGAGAATGGCCTTCAAATTCTCCAGATTTGAACGTTTTGGACTATTCCATTTGGTCGATCTTAGAGAGCAAGGCATGTGCAAAGTCCCACACATCAGTAGACTCTTTGGAACGGGCACTAACTAAGGCTTGAAACGATTTTTCCATCACCACAATTCAAAAGGTTATCGATGAATTTCCAAAGCGTTTGAACCAATGTATTGCTGCTAATGGTGGTCATTTTGAGCAATAATCGTTGTTTAAATAATGTTTTTGTTAAAGTTAATAAAAATTATTGTTTTCTAAAAGTTTTTACTGAGAAAGATTTGTGTTTTCCGCATTTACTATTTCGTTACCATAATTATGGCGCACTATGTTAGTAATTTTTTTGTGTTTCTATCTCTTTTTTATCTGCTTTACAATCCTGTCCCTGTCTTTGTTTTATTTTTTAAAAATTAGTTTAAACTAATGCAGAAGGAAATTTTTTTCATTAAATTCATCCTCAATTCAGTTGAAATTAAACTTAAGCTAATCAAAAGTATTTAAAAGTTAAGGCCACAAACAAGGCTAGCATTTTGTTGTCTGTTATTGGAACAAAAAAACAAAAACGATTTCCATTTCAGAGGCGAGCTATTCACTTCCTCAGCCTACAAGACGAGCACAGCGAACAACAGCACTCAACAGACAAGACCTTCATCGGAGGTTAATCGCTCCGAAAATGATCGAAACAACCTTTGAAACAAATAAATCTCAAAGAGATATAAACTGATTTTGGAACAAATTTCTTTTTTACCGTCTTCACTTAAGAAATTTATATAAGATCAATTTTTCTATAAGAAGTAATTTGGCAATACCTAGCCAATACCTAGTAATTAACCAAGTATTGGTAATTAGCCAATACCTAGTAATTAGCCAAGTACCTGATACTTCCAAAATAAAAAGCTTTGCTTGTTCCCTTTGATCTTTGAGTTTTAAGCCTTTGCATTGACCTGTCGAAATGTTGTTCTGATTTTTTTAAAACTCTACTTTTAATTTCCGTTTACTTTCAATCAGCGCTGCCCATAAACAATATTTCTCAGAGTTTGCATTTCAAAACGAAAAACTCAAGGCTTTTCATCACTTTTTGTTGTATAAAATCACAGTAACACAGCATAGTGACTCGTTTTTGAAAATAAATGCTTTTCAAAGGTTTTCTTTTGTTAACAAGTTCAAAAGCTTGTTCACCAACAAATATTTTTATTTCTGAAATTTTTATTTATAAAAATGCACTCACCAGCTTTTCCTCGGCGTCAACCTTGGCGCTCGCCTTCAATAGAGCTTATTTTGAGAGATTTGAGAGACTCAAATGGATCCAATACCTTTTGCTTGTCATCAATCCACTAGCAAAAGTCATTTTTTCGTCTTCACGTAAGTGTTTTAAACTTAAATTGTAATTTTTACAGCCGGCTACCGCGAGATTTTCGTCTCTTCCGAAGGCGCCAATCTCTGGGTCGAGGAAGTGCTCGGTGAACAGCTTTTGTACTACAGAACGTTGAAAATAATCATCATTTTTAAATTTGACTTTTCCAAATTCAGGACCTGATCAGCTACATTTTCTATGCCTTGATTACAAACTTTTGAGAATCAAAAATCAAAAAAAACTTTGGTACTTCGGTACGTTGAAAGATGATGGCATTCATTTCAAGATTTCATATCTTGTAATATTTTTCAACGAAAAAGCCAGGTAAGTGTAGTCTTTCTTTTGATTTAAAAAACCTTTAACAAGACAGTTTTTCTTTTTTTGTTTTGGGATTTTTGAAATTAACGCTGACGAGATACTGTTTGCAAAAAGGCCAATTCTCGGTGACCCAAAGTCTATTGGTTTTTGAACAGTAACAATTGCAAGCTTTATTCAACAAATAAGAAAAAGATGGTGTAAAGATTGCTGACTTTTAATCCAGGTATTTGATTTTACTTGATGCTTCCAACTTCAGCCAATCGACAAATCTCTTTCAAAGTCTCATCGTTTTTCCCTTCACCACTCAACTCGACAACGTTACACTTTTTGATCATTCGTGTAAGCTGAAATTTTTTTGATCTTTATTTACATTGGAGATTGTTTATGCTAAAGTTTGGCCAAACCTTCTCAATGAAAATCTCGCGATTATGTTGTGTGATCGATTCACTGAATCTCGTCACCACAACTCCGATCTCATTTGTCCCATCCCTTGGTGTAAACAGAAAACGATTCTCAGCTCTTAAATCAGGGGGTTTGTGAATTTGTACACTTTGTGCTTTTAAAAAAATATTCATTTACAAGTTTTTGAAAGCTACTTAAATATCTTTTCCGGTAATCAACGATGTATTTGGGAATGCCAAATCTCTGTCATAACACTTTTTATTTAGTCCAATTCAGTAAAGTAAAATGTAAAATCTTCAGTAAAATATCTAAAAGGAGTAAAGTTTAAAAAAACCTTGCTACCATTGAGGAAACAGTCTCTCTCATTTCCTGCCGTTTCTCTTTCTGAATTTCACACGGTATTCACAGTTTTTTTTTGTCAGCAAAATCATTCAGAAAACAAAATTGCAACAAAACCGCGTAGTTTACTAAAAATAGAGTTATTAAGAGAAAAAAGGCTTGTTTTCTGTACTCGGATCGCTGCTTGTTTAATATTCGACTCAAATTTTGATCTACAATACTAGAAAAGCAGGAAATCCCGAATTTATTCTCAGAATCAAACAGTCATTTGTTGCTACAATTCGAGAGAAATCCAAAAGTGATATTCACTAAGAACATTTTTTGATTTTTTAGAAAAGACATACTAGGGGACTTTTGGCATTTGATGTTAATTTTGCGGGAAATTGCCAGTTTTGTTGGTTATTATTTGATATTCACCGTTTTAGAATAAAGTTTTTAATTTTCGACTGATAACTACTGCATCTCGCACGATTTGGAAAAGGAAAAGGTCGATTTTGTGAAGCTTCAAACTGTTTCCTGTGCTCGTTTACCAGTGATTTTTCATGAAATCAATTACATTGCATTGAAAATGAAGCATGTGTCAAGCATTGTCAAGCATATGATTGAAATAGATGACTCACCAGCGATGAAATGTATTCAATAGTTTAACAGATTTATTTTTGTACTGTTTCACGTTGCTAACGGTTAAAATTGAACTGCAAATAGTGAAACGAAGAATAGCATGAAAGGCGAGTGAGTGGCGGCCGTGTTGCACTTCTTTCCCTTGCAGCAGTAGAGCGTACCGTCGACGTAAGCATTCGAAACACTCTGCGAGCCTTTGTCCTAAAGAAAAAACAATTAAATTTTTAAAATTAAATGGTAAAAAGATAGATTTTATTTCCACAACCGCTTAAAGATTAAATATGTATGAAGCCTGAATCTGTGAATCTGTGAACAACAAATAAAACAATCTGTGAACAACCTTGCACTCGACCCCGGTCAAATTACTAATTGCCGATCCACAACCGCACGACCAAAGCGATACGCTCGTTTGGTCATTTGTCATCCCAGCTTTGAACTGAAGCTCACTTATTCTACAACAACACAAAACAAAACTCACTTTTCCGGTACCCTTTGCACAATAATTGCAATCGCTTCCACAGTCCATCACTTTTTTCTTAAAAAGATATAGGATTAGTTTGCTTAAAATAAAAACTGACGTTGAACAAAAATTAGTTGATTTTAGTTTTTAGAATGTCAGCTGATCAAGTGGGACCAGTAACAGTTCACTGCAGATTATTATGAAATTATGCTTGCTTTCACCAGTATAACATGCTAATATTGGTTGATTTGTACTAGTTCTACAAACATTGATCTGAACATGAAATTTTTAAAACTACTTCTTTCGTGTGCTTCTCGTTGTCACTACTGTCCGACCAACAAGAAACGGCAAAAGTGAGCCCGATGAGAGAACAGAACAAGAGGATACACCGCATTGTGAATGCTCAGCTTCAGAAGATTTGGGTTTTGAAAGAACTGTGGGATGGTGATTCTAGGCAAACGATTTTATTTCCCTTCTCGACCCTGGGCCACATAATCTTTCCATAAGTATCAGTAAATAGGCGATAGGCGTTGTCGTTGGGGAATTTTTGCGTTTTTGTCCCATTCCATCATTGATAACGATGCCACGACAAAGAAGGGCAAATCCGTGCGGTAAATCTTAGGGATTATTGTTCATCCTTCAAGTTTGGAAGAGTTGAAGGATTTTATCACTTTCACCCTAGTGCTGTGATGATGTGTGATGATGTGCTGATCGAAGAAGATCAGATCGGAATTGATCTAATAGTAAGAAATGATGCTAAATCGTTTAAAATATATCAAAGTTTTTTGAAAGCTACTGTAAGCTACTAATCTCATCTATAGTTTTCATTTAGTTCTACTTATGGTACCAAGTTATTCTCACAAATTCAAAAGTTAATTTCAAAAATCCCAAAAAAAGAAAAGCTGTCTTGTTAAAGGTTTTTTTAACTCAAAAGGAAAACCGAGATGAAAAACGGTTTCGATTTCATTAGAACTTAAGTCTTTTGAATTACCTGGGTTTTTAAATAGGATACCTTGGCATTGGCTCTAATATTTTCGAATATTAGAGGTTTTGTTCTTCGGTAGAACGGCACAGGATTGAATTGGCAATCCGCAAGTGGCAGTAGCCTGAAAACTTACTAAATACCTAGCTTTTTCGTTAAAAAATATTACAAGAGATGAAAGTTTTTGCTTGTAAATTGGTTAAACAAGTCAAAATTCATCCACCAAATGGGGAAAGAAACTGATTATGAAGGTTAGAAGGAAAGAAATTAATGCCATCATCTTTCAACGTACCGAAGTACCAAAGTTTTTTTGATTTTTGATTCTCAAAACTGAGTACATTTATATGAAAGTTTAAGTTCACCGTTTGTTGCTTCCGATAAGGTTTTGATTTTATTGATTTTTGATCTCTTTTCATTGAAAAGTTGATTAATAAAGTTGAATTTACGATTCTCAAATGCTCGAGATGGGATCAATCCTATTGACAGAAAGATTTGATCCAAAGTTGAGCAAGATTGTGATTTAAAATCATTTTTGATCAGCGATTTTAAATAATTTTTGGGATTTTGTTAGTATTTAAATATTTGCTTTAAACATTTTTGCATTGTTTCAAATAAACCAGAACATTTCCGCTAACATCAATTACGCTTTTTGAAGAAAAGAACAAAACAGAGCCCGATTAAAAACAAGTCAAATCAAATATGAAAATTCATTTCATTTATTAGACTATTTTGTATTTTCAAAAATACACTTTCAGATCACCTTCAGAGTTCACTTAAAATGTTATTTGAAATAGACGATCGAAAATTATAGCCGAAAGTTCGTTTTCTGGTATTATGGAAAAAATTCTAGATTTAGAGTGTTCTCGAAAAAATCTAAACGTACAAAAATCAAAATGTGAGCCAATTTTCAGAAAGTTTTGTGTTCTCTCTTATTAACTTTTTGATTTCAAGAGGATTGTGCAAAAGTTCAATTTCCGAAAATCATTTTCAAAACTCTTTTTAAATATTGAAATCATTTAAAAACTTGCATTATTGACCTTTTAAAACTCAATTTACCTCAAAATTCTATTCAAATTCAAATTTCCAATTTGAGACATTGGATCTTCTGAATAAGGCCTACTAAAGTCACTAGATTGAAAATTGAAAATTAAATGTTATTTCATGATTTCATGAAGGAACAATCAGACACTGGCAAGGACCTATCTTTAAGCAGTCAAACTGGATCTTACTTACTTGTACCATCTCAACAACTATCAATTGCAGCTAAATATTGAAATATATTTTTAGTTCTTCAATGTTGGTGTTAAACCCTCGTTTAGACGCTTATCCCCGTGTTGCTCGAGTATGTGCCGTGTGCGGTCATCGTCTGGTGTCCACTGTTTGCGATTCAGTTGGGCAGATGGTGCAATCTCGTGCAGGTAGCTGTCTCCGTCTATCCGTTTCTCGATCCGATTTGCATCATTTACTTCGTCAAAAGTTATCGCTATGCTTTGCAGAAAAAACTTAACCTACGGTAAGCCTAAACTTTAATTGCTTGTCGTTTACGGTTTGTAGTCTAATCGTAAGCATCTAGGATTTTTAAAGTTTTACTAACCGTTAACACCAAGTTTCTCAAAATTTCGTTTATTTTCAAAAGCCGACCGATCTCCTTTGCCACGACGAGGGACTCCTCTTTGGGCAGTAAAAGTCCCCTTCCGCCGATCATCTCTCAACGTGTCTGTTCGACAAGTGTCTGTTATTAGCAGACTGTTAAATACCATTCATTTGTTTGTCAAATTTCAAATCAGATGTTAAAATGTTTAATAAACACTTTTAAAAGCTTTTCGCCTGGCAAATGAAGTTCATCGTTGCGGCACATTGAACCGGTTTCCACTTCAGGTCACTCGAGTCCAAATAGGTGCAATCGGAGGTGACTGAAAGGGGTAAAAAGAGAAGGAAAAGGTATAAATACGTGATTGATCGAAACGCTGATAGTCGAACGGGGTGTTGTCATTCCAGAACCAGTTCCCGTTCAGCTGTTGGGCTCCCAAAAAGCCGCGGCTCGACTGAGTCATGTCTGAAAGGGAAATAGGTAGCAAAAGATAGGTTTAATATTAAAATTAAATTGATTTTATTGTACTTAATTTGATTTTCGATGTTTTTTTATCTTAACTGATCTTAAATCAAGTTGATTTTGGTAAGAAAATAGGTAGGATAAGGTAGTGAAAGCCTTCAATATTTTCTGTTACTTAAAAACACCAAACAAATTTCCCAAGATGCTAGTTCTTCAGTTAAGAGATTAACACAAACTAAAATTAACAATTTTAAAAATAAAGTATTATTGTTATAAATCTAAATTTGCTCTTACTTTGCTGAATCTGAGCGAGGAGGTTGTTCTGGAAGGCGTTGTGAATGGAGAGAAGATCTCCGCCAGCCGATCGACACTCGGCAACAGCCGAAAAGTAGGATTTGGCTCCGGAGCCGGCGCGGAGACAAATCGACAAGGCGTTCTGATCGGAGAAGCCGTTCGGGCATCCGGATCCGTGTGCTTGTGCAGTCCAATGTCCAATCAAATTACCGATCGTTTTGCGAGCATTCTGCAAATTTTAAATCATAATTACTAATGGAGTAATCTTGATTTCATGATGTGAAATGAATACCTTCAAGCCATCGGGGTCACTGGCTCTCTCTGGGTACATATCGGCACAGTGAGCGGTGGCTGAACGCTTACTTTAAACGTTATACAAGTCATGTCTACCATTAATCGTGATGAGTGTCTGATCTCCGTTGTTGATCTTCGAGAGACCCAGCGCGTGCCACGGATCGACATTTCCATTCGGAGCTACAATAGCGGAGACCTGAAAGCAGTTGGAACAGTTACAATCGAGCCTCGATACAGCGATTTTGAAATTCCAAAACACGCCCTTGGTTTCGGCATAGTGGCCCAGTAAAACGCAATCGTTGGTCGTTCAGGGTAGCTACACAAGAAATTTAAGGCACGTTTCAGAATCGTTAAATCGAGAGTCACCTGGATTTGAATGTATTGCAAGTCCAACTTACACTAAAAGATGATGTGAAGAAATTGTAGTGATTCTTGATGTCGGATTGGATGTTTCTGGTTGAATAATCACTTCCTTGACCCTTGTTTCCGTCGTTTCCATTTCCAAAAATATCGTAGCACATTTGAATGTACATGCTAAACGTTTTAAATGAAATTTTTATAAAGTTAATTAATTAAATTTAACTCTTAACATTAGCTTATAGCTAGAAACTTTAAAATGCAATGCCATAGCCATAGCAATTACGACTCAATTTTAAAACCGATCCCTCACTTCACAGGTGTCGGCGATCCAAAGATATTCACTCCAGAATCCGTCGACTGGAAGAAGCCGAACTCGTTGCAAGTCTGGTACGTCCAGCTACGGTCAGCTCCAGCAGACACTAGAAATCTTCTATTTTGAGCATGGTCTTCAACTCACCATCTCGCAGCTCAACGATCATCTCGGTGTAGTTATTGAAGGTGGAAAAGGTGTCCCCTGATTCCGAGTAGAACTGCCACATGTACCTTGAAGTCAAGGAAATCATCATTTCAAATTTAGTGAAATACTTGTTCACAGCAGCTACAGCTTGCAGCGGATTCGCCACGTTGGCGTTCATAATAGCGCAAACGCTCGCAATGTCTCCGTCTCCGTTCGCGTACCACTGAAAAATACTGCTTTGTATTGTCATTGTTTTGATTTTATTTTATCTATTACTTTAGGACTAGAAAATTGCTTTTAATTAGAATGGTTTATTTTAATTTTAACTTTTGACAAACCGCAGCATTATCACCGGCATATTGAACGGCTCCCTGGAAGTTTCCAAAAATGTTCGAGAAGAAAAACTGCAAGTCGATCTCCGACACTTTCGAATTTTCGTCCCATGCTGGGGAAAGCCTAGAATATTGTTAAAATAATTTTACTATCCCTTACAGTAAAACTTTATCCATAAGCTGATTTAAAAATAACATTTAAACATTTTTATAAGGCAACGAAAATCTCTTACGTGAAAAGATCGGAAAGCTGCTTGAGGCCTGATGGAGTTAGCGCAAGTTGTTGCATTTGAGTGAAAGCTTTCTAAAGATTTAAAAAGTTTCATGAATTTAGTCTTTTACTTACTCCAACAATGTCCGCACATGGCGAGCTGTACATTCGCAAGCTGTTCTCGACAACAGTCATATACTCTGCAATTGGACATAAATCATAATTAATCAATGAAAATAATTAGTTATAAAGAAATAGTTGAACAATTAATCAAAATTAGACGATTAATTGACTAAAATAAAATATCAAGTGTACCATAAAAATCGAGCTTCACGTTGACTGGGGCTGAACTGCCGACGGCTCCTTGAATCAGATCGGGGAACTTGTTTCGAGCCCACAATGAAAGCATTCCTAAACATTAAACTTAAAAACTTCAAACTGGTTAATAAACCAGAGTATGAGCCTCCAAAAGTGATCCAGGGTCCCTTGTTCCCTTGGCCATTCATAGTTGTAATAAACGAGCGGAGATCCCAGAGAGACTCCCACGAGTTGCAGTACTTCATCCCGGAGCTTCTAAACCAAACAAATTTCGGTTTTTGTTGCACATGCACTCACCCAGATAGTAGACTTTCTCCGTAGCATCGGTGTTCCATGTAGTAAACATTGGCGCTGTATGTGGCAGCCCATTTGAGGAATGGAAGGTCCTCGTTGAGCATCCATCTAAACACAGTACACTGCTTGTTTTAAATTGAATTTAAAGATTTAATATAAATAAAAAAAAATCAATGTAATGTTTTACAACAAACTTGTTTGGATTTGCCTCTCCCTCACCGCCAATCATTATAAAGTTTGGACCACTTGCTCTTGCCCATTTCGCGTTCATCCACCAACGCTAAATATTAGCAAGTAATAATAACTCCAGTAACTTTATTAAACATTAATTTTGATAAATTCGAACATGCAAAATTTATTTATTTATTTAAAAAAGAAAACCTGAGAAAAGTTGTTGGGGGTTTGATCGAAGTGTGACTCGGGTTGAGTGAAAAGAAAAGCCGTGTAGTTGTTCGTGTCGGCTTTGGAAAAATCCTGGAAATGAGTTTTTTTGAAGATAATCTTTGTATTAGAACAGCAAGAACAGCAGATTTTGTTTCTATGTACTACACTGCTCCACAAAATGATAGCCAGACCCTTAAATTTTGCAGAAAAAGTTTCTAAAAAGTTTTGACTAAAGTTTTAAAAGAGAAAAGTTGCCATTTTTCAAGGATCATCTCACCTCTTTCTCCAAAGTTTGATGCTTTCTTTTTCTCTTGTGCTTTTCTCATCATAGTATTGTCTCTAAAAGCAAAAATCGCTTCGCTACTTTCCAGACTCGTGCAAAATCTTATTCGTTTTTGCTATTATCGAGACGAACGTGGAATTTTGCCTTTTTGCTGCCGGAATCGCAACAAAAGTTTGATTTTTATGTATTAGGTTGATGCAAAAGTCTTTTTCATTTTTTTCGTACTTCCGTTAAAAAGTAACAAATGCACCAATTGAACAACGGTTTATTGCATTCGAAAGGCCAATTATTTTTCTGCAAAATGACATTAAAACGAGTTTAAAATGTCTTATGTCTAGATTTTTTTGAGAGCCTGAAGTCGGGTAGTCAAAAAAGGCGACGGCTCGATGATGCATTTTAGACGCTTTAGCTAAGGAAACCAATCTTGATGTTAATAAATAAAAGATAGAGCACAAAAAGTTAGATATTTTTTCAGATTTTCAGAGAAATTGATTCAGCCAATTTCTTTATAGAGGTTTTTATAGATTTTTATGAAAAACCCGTTTTCACTCTCGAATTTGCTTGAAAGTGAACCCAAATTGACTTAAAAAGATGGGAAATTGAACAATAAACACTTTTCATTTAGAGCAAACCATAGGTTAATTGATGACTTTGTTATTTTTCAAAAGAAGTACGAAAAAAATGAAAAAGACTTTTGCATCAACCTAATAGGATGGCGCTTCAATTCACAGATGTCAACACAGGAATGGTCAAACAAGAGAATCCCTCTTCTCTCCTGGTCATTATGTTCTCCTGACTTGAATGTTATCGAAAACGTATGGGGATTTATAGTTCGCAAAATTTACGACGGAAACAAGACGTATCGAAACGTTGATGAGCTCAAGCCTGCCATTATCGACGCGTAGTCGACCAGAAATTGATTGATGACCTCTACCACAGCTTCGAGAATCGAGTTTTTCAGCTAATTCAGCAGAATGGATTCTGCTACTGATTATCGAATTAGAAATTGAGGCTCAATTATTGTTTTTTTATTGTTAATAACATGTGTTAACATTTTTGGTACTGCGGCTATTATTATGTGAAGCAGTGTAGATTGAAATTTCTTTGAGACTTACAAACTCTGGGCTCTGCACTCTCGGACGGCTTCTCAGCATTGGAACTTTTCTGCTAACCGGTCGATATTTGTGCCCATTCTGAAAGTATTGTGCTCGAAAACTAATTCTATGAAGTATGTTCATTTACCTCGACAACAAGTGTGCTTTTCAGTTGAGTGATAGTGTGTTTAAAGGGCTTTGCCGGTTTGCTTGGGGCCATAGCTTCCTTTTGGGCTTGCTTGGGAATTGCTAAAAGATTTTTAGAATTTAAAAGTCTTAAATTGTCTTTTAATTGTTTTTGAATGAATTGTCATGGTTTTTATTTTATTCATACCTTTTTCTGAAGATCCTTTGAGCCACAGGGGGATTTGTTGAGAGACAAGAGCGTAGAGCTGAAAACATTTTGATTAAGAAAAACATAAAAGATTAACTTGTATGGAATTTTAAAGTAAGTAATTAATTATTAGGGGTGCTTAAATCTGTTTCTAAAGCTAACCTTATCGTAGCGCTTGTCACCCAGTTCAGGTTCGTACATGTCACCGCAGTGTGCACTGCCTGAAATCAATTTTTATTTGAGCATTTCCATCATTATTTCTTCACCCTCAATCAAGAATGGTATCTGGGTGTCAAAATCGGATTGCAATTTTCCCAATGCGTGCCACGGGTCGAGATCTCCGTTTGGGAGGACCACGTTCGTGCCCTGAAATCGCAGTGTTTCGGAAACTGAAGACAGTCAGCTTTTGAATTTCTGTAACTAGAAACAGTTCTGAAAATTCACCGAATACCCATCAGCTCCTCCATAAAAATCGTTGGTGGCCTTCACGGCAGCACTGATGTAATCAGCGTCGAATTGCTTTCCGTAGATATCCTGGCAATAGTTGATCGAAAGGCTGAAAGACAACTGAATTTAAAAGTGCCAAAATAAATTAAAAAAAGATTTCAAAAGGCTTTCGAAATCTTTTAAAGTTAAAGTTTAACAGTTTCGTGTTAACCTCAGTGCGGAAGTTGCCCCGAAGATCCCCTGTGTGTAATCAGTTGTCTGATAGTAGCCGAACTCAGTGCACGTTTGCCAGATCCAACTGCGGGCGGCCGCTGAAAAAAAAAATAACGTTCTAGCAATAAGTAAACGCTACAATCCCATTTTTTTCAAAAACCCACCCAGATCCACGTCGCCGTAGCTTTCGTCTTGCAGGTACGCGATGTCGCCGGTATAGTTGTTGTAGACACCCTAGAGGTTTTCGAAAATTAAAGTATTTAAGACTGAGTGGTTCTGTTAATATATTATTAATTAAATTATCTATTTTTTTGTCCTTACCTGTCCATTCAGCGCCTTGTTGACGTTGACGAGGGCTGTGTAGGGATCCGAGTTGGCAGTCATGATTTTGCAAATGGCACTAATGCTCGACTGGTCATTTTTTCCCTAAAAATAAAAATTCTGTTCAATTTTCTGAATCAAAAATTAAAATTCTTACTTGATCATTTGAGTACTGAACGATTCCTTGGAAATTGCCGAAAATATTTTGATAAAAGTACTGGATATCGTTGTAGTTGAGAGCAGTGTTCGCTAGAGTGGGAGCAAGACTGAAAATTTTGTTTTTTCAGATTTATGTTGAAAATGTTGTTTCATTTTTTATTTCTACTGAATGTATACTGTACTTAACTGTAGTTTTTAATTAAATTTGAGATAAATGCTTACTGGAACTGTGTGCTCAGTTGGGCCCTGCCGGCAACCGTTTTCATTAGCTCGATCACTTGCTAAATAAACAATATTGATCATTCATTTTACAGGGATAGGCTTTGCACTTGATATGGATATTTAAAATAAAATTTACATTTAAATTAAAATAATCAGATCTTATTCACCCACCGCATATCCAGCTTTAACGGCCGCCAAGCATGCAGGTGAACCGAAGGTCCATCCGGGGGCGTTTGGTGTACCGGTGTAGTTAAGTGAGTTCTCAACAACTTGTAAGTATTCTAAATTAAGCTTTTAATCGTTAAATTATTAGAAAATCTTGCTACAACAACATTAGCTACTTACGATAGAAGTCGAGGTTCGCTTGTACGGGTCCAGACGATCCAACTGCTCCTGCGATCAACTCTGGATGCTTTTGACGGGCCCAAGCTGCCAAAGCTCCTAGAAAGATTTAAATTCAGTTTTTAAAACCTTAAACCTGAATATGATCCTCCGAAGACCACCCATTTCGCCGACGTCCATCTGTTTTTCTGATTGATGTACCGAATGAAGAAAAGCGATGTCCTCAATCGCTTGTCGTGACGAGAGATATTTCAGGTTTTCCACGCTTTGTTTTCTAAATTGTTTTTTAATTTAACTTTTAGACTTATTTAGATTTCACTTAGGTTTTTAAACCTTTAGAAATCTTTACGGGAATGGTCGGCTGTTTCCGTAGAAGCGATGCTCTAAATCGAAGACGGCTGCTCCGTTAGCTGAGGCCCACTGGAAGTAAATGTTTGAAATTAATGAAGCTCAATTAAAATTTATTAAAAACTATAAAACTTTAATATTTTATTAATGTTATGGTTTAGTAAGTTGAGATTTCAGTCAGTTCCAGTCAGTTCCAGTCAATCCAACTAGAATTTGAATTGAGCTTAATTTAATTAGTGAAAAAAGTGTGAAAATTGACAACTCACGATTGCAATTTACACTTATTAGAACAAAAACAGTTATACAGTCGACGCTCGATAGTAAATCACTTTTGGAGAATCCCTCCAATGGCAAACACGTGTATTTAAAGCTTTATTGTAAATCTTTATTGTAAAATGTAATTTTTAAGCAAAATTTTGCATTTCCAGCTGCAAAATTTACATTTTATTTACTATCCAAGCAAAAGATTTAGCCAAACGATTGAAACCGAAAGCGAAAAAGAGCATTCAACAGCAAATTCATTCACTCAAATCCATTCCATTACATATTATTAAGAGTTTAGTAAGTAAATCTCATAGTAAGTCACTAACTTTTGCCACAGTTTGCATATTTTACTATAAAAGCTTGCAACTGCTTATATGCTTACACTGTTGCTTACAATCAGCTGCTATTCTAGTTTTCTAGTCATTAAAAACAGTTTTGAAAAGTTGAATTCCCGTAAAGCCTTGTTTTGCTAGTGTTTTAGTATATAAACGTCGTGTTAAAGCCACAAAATGGTATCGATCAGCTTAGTGACAGTGTTTTTGGTGCTTTTAGAACTGATGAGGCAAAACTCTCGATAGTAAATCACTTTTGGAGAATCCCTTCAATGATTTACTATCGAGCGTCGACTGTATTTTTGTTTACATAAGTTTCACCTTCATCCAAGGGAGATTATAGCTTCGACTCCAGTAAGACGACTCTGGTCCCTCTCCACCGATCATTAGAAAAACAGCATTATTCGTCACTCCTTGGAAATTTTGTTGGAATTGATAATTGTAAAAATAGTGCTAAAGAATTTTTAAATAAAAAGAACAGTGACAGTCTACTTGAGTCCAAGTGCCGTTGTTGTCACCGAAATGGCTGATCAGCTGAGAGAACGTATCCGCTCCAACAACAGCCGCTTGCTCAGCAAACATGTGCTGAAAAGATTTGTTTAGTTTAGTGAAAAAAAATTAACAAAATAAAGTAAAGTAAAGGTCAGAACAGATTAATGCAGAAAGCTTTTTATGGGTGTAACATGCTTGAACAACAAAAATGGTTATGTTAAGTAGGAGCTTTCTTCTTCTTACCTCTGTTTTTGGCGGTGCCTTTCGTGCTCCGCCGAGTCGATAGCCGAGAATCGTTTTCCGGTCGAAAGCCCATGTGAAACTCTGAGAAAATTAAGTTAATTTGTTCTTGGCATCTTCTAATTCATCCCAAAATGAAAAAAACTAACCGTAAACAAGATGAGCACGAACACTGCGACCAGCTGCATCTTACCCATTCTAAATTGGGTTTTCTCCCTTTAAATCTACAAAAATGTATTTAAAATGGAAAAAATGTTTAATAAACGCTTTACGAAGTGTATACTTTATGATTTAAGAAACATTGACAGAACAACTCAGCCATTTTCGTTCCTTTTCTTATCCGAGAGATTCCTGGGAAAATTCCAGATGGCGTTTGGTCAAAAAAAGAAAAACTTCGTTCAAAAACACGAATTCGTTTTCAAATAGCTTTCAGCAAAAGTTTCCCCGTTTTGACTCCCGATTGATTTTATGGAATTCTGGGTGTCTCTCAACTTCATCTTCAACCATTTTAAGCTCTTCCCACCTCCATCCGATCAAATCTTCGTTCTGCACTCGACTCGGTGTTCCCTCTTCCAGCAGAAAGAGCACCAATTTAGTAGCAAATCCCTGGCATAAATTGAAAGCAAGAGCAAGCAGAAAGCAGATTTTCGCTCTATTAAACACAGAAAAATACTCTTCTGATGAGTCCCTAAGCTTCAGAAAACTGTAATGAAACGGGTATTTCGTGAGCTGTCCTCAGTTCTATCACCGTATTGTAACAGGTGTGATAGTTGTGAATGAACAGGCTATAACGGCCGCTCACTCGATCGATCACCTCGGATCGATCACCTCGAGAAACACTTGCAGCAGCTCAACTTTAAAAGTTTCTATGGTAAAGTTATGGAACAAAGTTTTTTTGGAGATACTCCAAAAAGTCTCTCATTATTTCAGTTTCAGGAGGGAAAACGGAAACGGAAATTGAACGAAAAAGTTCTTACAACTGGATTTTTTCTTCACAACTGGTAAGAGGTCGATCTTTAGGAAGGAGCCGTCTTCGGGGACTCTTTCTTTTAAATCAGTTAACAGCGTGAAGCAGCGCAGCTCACCGTGGGTCTCCATTTGAACATCCTTTGTTGCCAATAACTGTTGTTGCTGCGCATTAATTACAAATTCCAGAGTGTCCAGTTTTTTAAGGAACACACCTTTAGGCAAAATAATAGCATCTCAACTTTCGGTTTCGGCCATCAATTTGTGGCCATCAGTTTGAGGGCATCTTTGATTCGAACGGCCTCGAAAACGGAATATTTCAAATGAATTGGATGGAATTTAAAACAGTTTTAAAACAGTAAAACAAGTGCTCATTTTGAAAGTTTTTGATTTAAAAAATAATAAAAGACGGCAGAATCTTTATTTAGGAAATGAAAATAGCTTTGCGGAAGGGAGAAATTTTCTTTTACCAGCTTTTTAATTCATGGGCTAAAAAAAGCAATATCTTTGTTAATATGGAAATGAAATCATCAATTCATCAATTACATCTCAAACTCGATTCATTTGAATCTCTTTTTCAAATTTAATCTTTTATTATTTAAAAACTGAATAATTAGTTAACTAAACAACTATAATGAAAGTGGTCTTCTTTTGGACAGCGAGTTTGTCCGCAGTAATTAACTTTTATGCTTTTTTTTAAAAATGGAACCTTTAAAGATTTTAAAAACCAGGAAAAGAGTTTATTTAAGCTCAAAAAATGCCTTTATTCAAAGTGATGGCCGGTGGTGGTTGCTGATTGTAGATCGTCTCGACTGAGAAGGGGTGGGCGAGACTTTTCGAAGAAATAAAATGCAAACAATGCTGAATAATTGGCTAACAAATGTACATTTTCTTTGAACCCACCATCCACCTAGATCCATCAAAAGAAACGACATCAAGTAGACCGAAAAGACGAACAAGCGTTGCATGTTGTAGCCGAAGAAAAGCGTGACGAAGATCAGAAAGAACTTCCAAGTAATAGTGTCCAGAAACTGAGCTCCGGAGTTACAGAGCATCTGAAAATGAAAAAACATATATCAGTTACGGTACTGTAAGTAAAAAAACCTATGTAGAGGCTGTTGAAACTTTGCTTACAACTTCAAATGATCTCAGATTTCCCAACTTTTGCGTAGGGACAATGCACATGAAATCTCAGTATTCTTTCAAGAGCTTTTCAACTCAATTTAATAGTAAACCCTAGGGGCTTCAAAGGGATAAGAAAGCCCTATCTTTTCTCTACAAAACACCTTTTGAGCCAGACGGGAAAGCTTTTGTTTTCACACTTTTTCAAAATCGAACTTAGGCAAGCTAAAATGGGCTGATGGAGAGTTGATCATTTAAAGATTTCCATTCAACGAACCTACTTTGGTGTTCAAATAAAAAACCTAGAAAATATTTCATGACGTCTACACTCAAATTTTCAAATCAATCTGTACAGTCGTTTTCTCTCAATGACGTTTTGTCGGTTCCAGACAAATCTGTAGAAGATATATAGGGCTTTTATATAAAACTGCTATGGCATTTCGAGCTCGCAACAAGGATAAGAAACAGCCGACTATTTAAAAATCCCTGCCCATAGTCTGTGCATTGAAAAAAGCCTTTCAGGCAAATTACTTACGATTTGATTTCATAGCTAAAAGATGTATTTTTCTGTAACTTTTCCCCTTTAAACTTGTCTGTTTAACTTTGGGGACGAGCGACGTCGCTAATACTTCAGCGAAAATGCTTATATCTTTGAAATCTTTTTATTCAATCTTTCTATTTTTTTATGTCATTGATGCTGAACTAAACTTTGAATTGAATGACACAAAAACTAGAAAGATTCAATCAAAACTTCACAAGTTATAGGCTTTTTCTGTGGTAGTACTATCCCACGCTCGTTTAAACCAATTCCCATTTAAGAACCAATTCTAGAAAGTCGATCTCACCTGAATCATCAGCAAACGCTCAGCTCGACTCACTTTACCATTTTCTCTTAGCTAAACTATTATTTGTTCTAGAACTGAACTTTAATTTACCTTTTTGAGTTTTTGATTAGTGAGAAAATCGAGAGCACACATCCACAGAAATGGCGACTGCTCGATGTTGATCAGAGCTACGTTCACATATTCGGACTGCGGTTCGGGCACAGGCGGAAGGTATTGAGCCGCACTGCACAGCCAGCCGAACAGGAAGACGAGAAGCAACTGAAGGAATGGCCATTTGAGGGTGTAACGGAAGTAGAGACCGTCAAAAGAGACAGCGAAGAAGCGACTGGAATTGTTCAGATGGACTTTAGTGAACTGAAAAACTTAGAATCATCTTGAGTCCTTAAGAGTGATAAAAAATTTAAACAGAGTATATCTCATAACAAAGTTTTCTCTGAAAGGCTTGTACTTGATTTATTTCTTAACAAAATAACTTCTGTTTTTTGCTTTTTTGCTTTGACTAACTTGACTAGCTTCATTTTTCTTCAGTTGCCCAAACTTTTGCATTGTTTTTGTTGTGCTTAAACAATCCAAACAAATGAAATTCTCGAAATGTATGTAAAAGTTTACCGCTTTGATTGCAAGTATCTTAAAATTTCTTTTTATTTTGCCTGAAACAAACTTTATCGAAACGCCGACTTGACAGTACTGCGTGCAAAGCTCGAGAAACTGAAAATTCGCGTGAAGAAAGTCGAAAAACGAGGAAATCGTTGAAGAGCATCTAGAAAAAGTCGGTTTCATTTCCTTTTTTCCAAAATCACTTGGCATTGAAAATCTTATAATCTGCATTACAAAGGATGATGCCGAAATTGGCGAAAGCGAATAGGAAACGGCAAACGTTTTCCGTGGTCACCAACAGACTGAAATTGTTTGAAAGGGAAAAAGTGAATGATTATGTTACCGTATCGGGAAAACGAGTTGATCGTTCCTCGCACAACAGAATGTCGCATATGGGCTCACCAAAAGGACCACGAAAAGCACCTGGAATCAACAAAAAAATTTTAACAAAGGACATTGAATAATTTATAGCATTTAGAGCTGTTTTAATTAAATGGTTAGGTTAGAAAACTATCGTAAATACTGTATTAGAAGTACCAGTGCTTCAATTACGGTATTTTTGGTATCTATGACAGTTTCACTTAACAGAGTCAGTCAAATTGTTGTTAAAGCGTTGTGAGAGAAAGATCTAAATCTTATTTTTAAGATTTTAAAACAAAAGCAAAAGATCAAATTTGAGAAAGGTTAAACTTTAGAGTAAAATTAAGTTTTTTATAAGTTCTGTAAGTGAAACAATAGGTTAATTGTAACTGGTTAACTATTCATTGAACAGGAAACGTTAGAATCAGCTTGGACTAGCTCTGTGTTCATTTAATTGTTCTAATATTCTTCAAATAAAATTGTAAAATTTACAATATAGCACGTTTTCTCGATGAAAAACGCCGTTTGATTGGACCAATGATTTGGAAGATCCGGTTTATGGGAAGGGTCGAGGGTGTACTGGAGGAAGTCGCTCAAAGACGAAACGAACAAATGGAAAGCTCAAATTTTTGTTTACTGATAGAGTTTTTCACAACACTTTAACAACAACAACAACATTGACTTTAAAAATCACCAAGAAGAATTGCTGTAAGTACAATCAGTTCGAATATCTCTCGATGTCGACCGCAGAAGACATTTCTTTCAGTTTTACTAACCAGCCAAAGCATTTTTTAAGTGAAATTTAAAAAGCTGACAACTCTTTGTTGTTTTTGTTTCATTGATCTCTGATGGTGTTTTTGTTTTTATTCACAAAATTCATAAATTTTCGAGAACCAATTCAACGCCGATTAATAGGGTTTTTCAGGTGGGTTTTGTTTGTAAAAAAACTTAAAAATTAGAAGAAAAAGAGCTTTTTATTTAGAACTAAAATTTTCAAGACTATTTATTTCAAACTTAAAAATAAAAACTACAATTCTTTATGTTCTAGTTCTTTTTGTAGGAAAGTACAAAATGTTGATTTTTATATTTTAAAAAAACAATAATCATATTTGAAAGCATTCTAAAATACTAATGTGCAATAAAACAATACAACAATAATACAACAATATACAATATTTACAATAATGCAAAATACAATACAATAATTAAAATAGAAAAATTCTTTAAATTATGGGCTCTGGGTCGTGGTTGTTCCAACGATCACCGGTCCTGGGCCCATCGGAAGTGGAGGACAGCCGCAAGGAGGGGGACGATTATCCGTCGAGATTCTCATTCCCGAATTCATAGCGCACATGAACATCGGACATGGGTGAATGGGAATCGAGGGTGAGGGAGAGGGAGTGTCGGTGGCATCTGTGACATCTGGGACATCCGGATCTGTGACCACTGGAAGTGAGCTGGGTGTGATCGGGATTCCTGAAAGTTACAATTTGCATTTCATATTTAAATTTAATACTAATGTGTTTTAAAAACTAAACTCAAAGTTGACTAGCATTTTTTAAAACGGAAAACATTTAATCTTAAGTAGATAAGCTGACAGTAGATCTTCAATTTTTACCTTTTCTGTTCCAATTTTGTTAAAATCTTTCACTAAGTTTATAGATACAAATGTTTTATTTATAATTTTTGATTCAAACATCATTCTCTTTTTAAGTCATCCCCTGGCGTTTCAAAGCATCAATTTGATTTCTGAAAGAGTAATGAACTATTGGGTTGGTGGGTATGGAATGCCGCTGAAAATAAACAACTGATTCATTCAATATTTTACATGCAATCATTCTAAATATTCTCCATTATTTTAGATGATTACTGGCAAAGACCGGATGCCTCTTTCGTAGAAAATCTTCGATTTTCAATCTGTCAGCCATTGACCTCTTCTTCGGAGTCGAAGTGTTTGTTCGCCAAATCATTGCTCATCGCCCAGAATAAGTAGTATTCAGAAGGTGCAAGATTAAGGCTGTATGCCGGATGGGCTATCACCTCACATCCAAGTGAGTTTAGCATAGAACGAGTCATCTTCAAAACATGTGGTCTAGCATTATCATGTTGAAGGATGATTTTTCTCTTTGGAGTCTTTTCTCTGACAAAGATTTGGCTGACTTGTCAAGCTGCTCAGAGTATTTGATTTAGTTGAGTGTTGTCTTGCTATCCAAAAGTTCCCAGTAGATAGGCTCTTCCAAATGCCAGAGCACCGAGAGCATAAACTTCTTCTCATGCACATTCTCCCGCGCAGCAATCCATTGGCGCTTTCTCCGAAACTTGACAGTTAGAATCCATTTACATTCCCTGTTGCAATACGGGGTAAAAAAAGATTTGCGCACTGATTGAAAAATGAGCGGCACTGATTGAAAAGCGTTGACATTTCTGGATGTCTGTTAAGTCATGTGGAATCCAAATCCCTAATACGATTTAAACTCAAATTTATGCAACTGTTCGAGTATTATTGTATGGTCAACTAATAACTCTTCTGCTATTTCACGGGAAGAAGGTCTGTTGTTGGTTTGAAGAATTTCGAGCAACTTGGAATTATGCAGCTGGACTGCTGGATAATGCCTTTCTCTTCGAGGATTTGTCCCCAGAACGAAATTTAGCAAACCAGTTTGCACATGTTCGCAGTGAAGCTTATCTTTCCACATAAACATTTTTAATACTAGCTGAATACTTGAGGCCCTTATGCCCTTGTAGAAATTCGTACAACATAACGTGTCGCAGATGTCCAGGTGGCAGCTTATCAATAGCCACAGCAAAAGTGGCGAAAATTTGAAAATAACAGAAAGTGAGGAAGCCCGGTTTCTTTGTTTTTGGAAAAGTGTTCTTGACTTTATCAGTTTCACGCAACAGCCCTCACCTATGTTTTGTTTACGAGTTTAAGAATCAATCGGCAAAATAGAGTCATTTCATACCCACCGACTCAATAATGAGACTTCAGTCAACAAACTTTAACTTATTTTACAACTAAATTTTAACGATAATGGTCAAATTTAAAGCAAGAAAGTAAAGTGAAACCCACCGTTCGCTGGTGCCGCTAAAACAGCCGGTGTCGCCAGACAAAAACAGACCAAAGTAAAAATAGAGACGATCATTTTAAATGTATAAAAACGAACTTGGAATTTTATGAAAACCCTGCTTTTATATAGCTTTCTGAATTGGGTACACAGCGAAAAACATTCAAAACTTCATTGTTCCTCTCTGTTTGACTGTCAAAGTTCATTGTTTTTGGCCTTTCCGAATGTCAAACACTGTCGTCAATATGTAAATATTATTTGGGGATTTCAAAAAAAACTTGATTGTGGCTTCGATGATTGTTTAGCAAAAGCAACAAGTGAGATTATGAAAGACCTGTTTCGTAAAGAATTGGGGTTTAGCATTCATTCAATGAACCTGACATCATCACAAACGGATAAAAGAATCTATTTTTCAGTGTTTTGAATTTCCCTTTATTTTTCTTCATGTGAAACATGGATTTTTATTGTTTACCAGAAATTCTTAATCCAGTAATAATTATGAAGAGAAAAACAGAAGATAATAAAATTAAAGATGGACCCAATCATTAGCTAATCTTCTTTTCTGTACTTCGATCAAGAATGCACAGATCTGCTCAAGAGAGTTAATTTGACAATTGCAATTATTTTTTATCGTTTTATTTAAAAAGAGTAAAAGCTGAACTGTTAGCTATTTTTAACTTCACACGCCCTAAAAATGGGCAAAATTGATACCGAATGTTTACAAAGGTAAATTGTAGGGAAGTAAATGGGGTATTCTTATCTTTTCTTCCTTGAAGAAGCCAAATTTCTATTTTTTTTTCTTTTATTATTGATTTCTGAGTTACTTTAACAGAAAATTTTATTCAAAAATGGATGCAGCCTGTGAATTTGATGTGTCGAATGCTTTTCTCCTCGGGCAGGGCTCATTCAGTGATGTGCATTTAGTAGAAAAAGACGAAAAGTTTGTTTATAAAGAAAAAGTTTTTAATTTTGAGATGTTTTTAGTCAAATCGTGGTGAAAACCCTGAAATCCAATCAGAGTGAGTGTTTGGAATTTTTCAAAAAAGAATACGAAATTCTGGCCAAACTCGAGCATCGGAATGTGGTGAAAACAATTGGGGGAGCGAATGTTTGTTCTTCTTTTTATTTTATTATTTATTTTTTTCTTTAGGTTCTCAAAAAACAACACCCACAATTTGCCATTCTGATGGAGTTTTGTGAATTGGGCACTCTGAAGCAGTGTTTGAATTAATGTTAACAATAAAATAAGGAATTATTTTAGTTATCTTCAATCCAAATGTCATTTATTTGATGCGAAATGTTTGTTTTTGGTCGGAATGTTTATTTTCTGCTTTGCACTATTTATTTAAAGAACACCGAATCGTTCATCGAGATATAAAGCCGGAAAAGTTTGGGATTTTTGAATTGTAAAATATAAAAATAAATTCTAGCATTTTTGTCACCAAAACTTTCGTTTTAAAACTCGGTGATTTCGGGATGATGAGAGAAATCGATGGAACGTGTTCGGGGACGTTCACTGGGACACCGAGGTATATGAGTCCCCCTCAGGTCGATCCTGAGAAAACGAGAGAGGACAACGAGGCAAACCAGGATCCGATGGTTCGAGATATTGAGTTGCGGAGAATGAAATGGCGCCGAAGATCAAAGAAATTTCTAGAATTTCTAGCAGACTTCGTCAAATGATACGCGTTTGGTATATTAGGTACTACGGAAAATAACTGCGCTTTTCTTAATGATTTTCAATTGCAAAATTCTTTTATTATGAATATTCAAATTAATCAAAAAGAACAACCGTTAGAATCAATACACTTTGGCCAACGAGTAGCCAGTTTTTTAACTATTTCTCTATAAAATTTAAAAGAGAACTCAAGCGCTTCAGCCCAAAAAAGGCCATTTTTTTACATAAAATCTATAAACTGTCATCTAGAGAAAACGGTTGGAGAGATCTTTCTGAAAAGTTGGCAACTTATGTAACTGAGTGTGATCTATCTTTTTTACTTAGACATCAAAGGAGGTTTATGTGGAAGAAACTGTTTAAACGATGAGTCAAAATTGCCATTTCGAATAGCTATGTTTGGGAATCCATAAACTCGACGAAAGAAAAGCTTTGTGAAATTTCTCAAGTCATTTTGTAGAGAGATAGTGGAGCCTTTTAATAAAAAAAAAAACGTGTATTTAAAGAAGGTTTTGTGCGTGCAAAAAGTGTCTTTAAAGTTCGGCGTCATTTCATTCTCCCCAACCCAATATTTAGTTTTTCGATTTTAATCGCCAACTTTAAATGATCCAATTACTCAGGCTTCTCCCCGAAACGATGTTTATGCTCTTGGCTTGGTGATTTGGCAGCTCATTGAAAGGAGGTTCATTTTAGAAAAAAGAGCGTTTAAATTTTTTTATCGAAAATTTTTACATGTATGCTTAGATTAGTTTTTTCTGAATACGGAATTGGAATCGATTTCAACATGGGACAATTCATTTGTGATGTTATTGGAGGCCATTTGAAGCGTGTAGTTTCGCCGAATTGTGTCCGAGAATTTCAGAAAATCGTTGAAAGGTAATTCTTGATCAGCGATCCTTCAAATCAAATTTTGTGGGCTAGATCAGGAGAAGAATGCATAAGACTGATAGCGTATTTAATAATTGTTCTTTAATACATTGCCTAAGCTTTTTCGAACGTGATAAGATCAAATTGAAAGCGAAAGCCAGAGCAAAAAAGTTTTTTCTGAGTTTGCCTGATTTTTATTGGAGAACTAGGTTTTTTATTTTATTGGAGATTTTATTTTTATTGGGCCTGGTCCATGACCGATTACATTAAAACTCAAAAAATCGTTTAGCTGCTGTGAATTCAATCGTTCTCAACGGCCGACAATTGAAAAGGCTTTAAATGAGTTAAAGGAGTTTAACAAAGTGAGTGTTGGTGGAAGCAAATATTACCAATCAATACAGGAAGTCTAAATTTTTGCCTAGAAGATGGCGTCTTTATCCCAAAACCTAATAAATTTTGCCTTTAGACGAATCAAATTCCCAATGGCAACAATGATGAATTTCCAAAAGTGATCGAAACTCAACTTGTGTTGATTCGACCGATCGGTTTCTTCAATCTTAACATGCATGATTACGAAAATGATGACAATGAAATTCTCGACATTGGTGGAAATACTTTTGAAAAAGATGGGAAAATGTTACTAAAGAAATATAAAGCCAAAACAATCTCTAAAAAAATGTTATTTCTTAAAAAGAAATTTGTTGAAAAATTCGACAAATTGTCCGATCAAGAAAAATTGAATTTCACTAAAAAAATGGAGATTTTGGTTGAAAAGGTGCGAAACGAAACTCCGAAATTTTTTCATGAGTATTTCCCTTCAATTGTTAACGATGTTGCCGTGGAAAAGGAAGACTTTGATGAGATGAATATTTCAGAAATTTTCCAAAACGTTATCAATGAGAAACAGAGAATCGATATGCATAATTTTGTACAAGTTTTTAAAAAAATAGCAAGATTGCGTGATGAGGTTAGCTACGGCCCTTGGACAATGTTTTACGAGGGATCGATTTTTAGCTCTTTGATCAAAACAACAAGTGACGCTTTATTTTTAAAATTAAAGTTTTCTTGTTTTTCTTCGATGAAAACTGGGGAAGAGTGGCTTTTGATTGGTGATGATGAGCATCAAAAAACAAGCATTTTTTCGAATAAAATCCTTGACAAATATTTGATTCGGAAAGGCTCGTGGAATTGTGAAAAGAAAAAGATTTTTCTCTCGAACGACGATGAATTGCATTTTCGAGAGGATTACATCATTTTGAGCAGAAAATTCGCAAATCTAGTCTCAAATTTAAAATCGAAAGTGCAAACACAAATCAATTGGCTTATGAATCGATTTTTTGATCTTACGAACGTGAAAACGAATTTCTCTTCTTTTAACATTGAAATCGGGAGAAAACTTCCGATTCCAGGCTATCTTTTTCAACTTTTTAATCCGCCAAGAGTTCAATGCAGTCATGAACCGAAATGTGAAAAGAAGAAACATGAAATGAGCGATAATTATGGTAAAGATATTGATGAATTCGAAATTTTTTACTACTCTTGTTCATCAGAAAAACAAATCGACTACTTATCGATTTGGAGAGTCGTTGTTTGCAGTCTGAATGGATTTAACTTTGTAAAAGATTCTAGAATTTTCTTTAAAGTCAAGGAGCTTCCGCAATACACTGAACCTCTAATCTTTCTTCAATATCCAAAATCTAAATCGAATTCAAACTACATAACCGTCTTGCATTTTGATTTTTTTTGATGGCTATGTTAGCGATTGGAAAATTCCGTATTTATATTCTGACGGTAGAATTCACCACATCGAGTTTTCTAGTTTCCAACAAAATTTGAAACAAACACCCAAAAATAAACTGCGATATTTGGTTGTTGAATTAACAAGAGATGGATGGAAGGAACACGTCGTCGATTATCGAGGAAATCAAATCAAAGCCGACGAAAAGCAAGGAAATGAAAGATCGATGAATCGGAAAAGCTGTACAGTTTTGTAGTTTGCTTTTAGTTTCATTATTTTACTATAACCTTTGCTTGCTTTTTGACATAAAATAATATTAGCTTGGTAAATATGAAAGGTTATTTTTTACAAAAAATATTGCCCTGTCGTTACGAAGAACATTCCCTGTCTAGGATTTTTCTCAATAATATGTCAAAATGTGCTCATGTTTTTTTTTGCAAAAACATTTTTGTTTTGAACAATATTTGTATTGTTTCAGCTCGGCAAAGATGGATAACCAAAAATTTAAAATCAGGGCCGCCATTTTCTTTGAATTCAAGTTAAACAAGAAAGCTACGGAATGCCATCAGAACATTTGTACTGTTTTTGGAGAAGCTGCTCTTACTTACAAACAATGTTGTGTTTGGTACGGTCGCTTCAAAACGGGAAGCGAGTCATTGGAAGACGCACCACATGGAAAGCCGCCGATTACTTTGGACGATCAGCTGTTACTGAACGAGGTCGACTTGGATCCATCGCAAAAGTGTAGAAAATTAGCAGAAAAGTTCGGATGCACTCATGTTACCATTTACACGTTCTTGGGAAATCATATCGAAGCGGGAAATGGCTCCCCCACGACCTCACTGATGCCCACAAAGTCACACGAGTCACCTTGAGCTCTGTTCTTCTACGTAAAGCTAGCCATCGTGACTTTTGGAAGTATTTTTTGACATCTGATGAGACTTGGCTTTCGTATGAAAATATTCAACTCTATGGACAGTGGCTGAGTTCGAAGCGGACCTCTCATTCTATCCCGAAGCCTCCGAAAAAGTTATGCTTTGTGTGTGGTGGAATGCTAAGGGATTGGCTCATTTGGAAATATTAGATAAAGGAGACACTGTTGACGGGAGACTTTATGCAGAACAAATGGGTCGAGTCGATCCAGCGTTGAGGAAAAAGAGGATCGATCCATCGAAGGTCAGATTTCTTCACGACAATGCTAGGCCTCACATTTCAAAGATCGTCCACGAACAAATCGACAAGTTGAGCTGGAAACTTCTTCCACACCCACCATACAGCCCTGATCTAGCCCCATCGGATTACCATCTCTTTCGGTCAATGAAACAAGCAGTTTCTGGACAGCAGTTCAAACAAAAGCAGGACATCGAAAATTGGGTTGCCAACTATTTTGCCTCTAAAAATCTTTAATTTTACGAGGACGGTATTCGTGATTTGGGGCAACGTTGGAAAGAAGTTATTAATGCTTGTGGTGAATACATTTGATTTTGAAAGTGCTTAAATAAATTTTTCTGTTATGTTAAAAATGATCAAAAAAATAACCTTTCATATTTACCAAGCTAATATGTTTAAAAGCAATTAAATTTTTAACATTTTTGTTGTTCCCGGATTTGCTAAGAACGGCCAACTCTTGATTAAAAGTATGAACTATGATCAAAATCAGAGGAAAACGCTCACTTCATTCCACTTTGCCTTTTAAATAGCAAAAGAAGCTGCGATTCTTATTAGAGGAATTACGGTGTGGATAATTTTAAACACTTTTTGGCAAGTTTTGAAAATGTGGCTTTTAGGTTCTCTCTATTTTTTTTCTGGAGGGATGTTGCTCTAATGGAGAATTTACGGTATTCAGATCTTGTCACAAATGAAGGGGGTGGGACAAATGCGACCTTATGTTTGCTCGCCAAACTCTGCGAGTTTTTACTCGCTATAAACATAATATCATTTTTCTCATAAGCTTTTCCGATATAATGTAACTAATTTTGAGGTTGGACAATTTATTCAAAAAAACCAGTGTTATTTAACCAAAAACTTAACAAAAAAAACCATATAAATCATAACAACAATAACAACAGCGAACAACAACAAAACGATTCCTACCATACAAAGAAACAACCTTACTCAAGACATGTGGTGCCTCCTTGGGCTTCTATCGAATCTTTGATATATGGCCGCATGCCGCTGCTTGACTTCCATCTTCCTCGGCGTTGTAGAGCTTCTAGTGGTACTCCTCGTGCTGCTTCCGTAGATGCTCCGCCTGCGCGCAGCGAGTGCGAAGTGAGATTGGACCATCCAAATTGTTTGAAGAAATTGGTTAACTCAGTGGCCGCAACTCGTGGCTGAATGGGCCCATTCCTCCCAGGAAACACGTATGTTGAAGCGGCCTGTTTTTTCCATTTGTACCATAGTTGATTGGCTGGAGTGCCGTTTGGAAAGCTGACGAATGTCCTTCTTCCTTCCGCTTCCTGGTCGTTTTTGGCTTTCCGGATTGTAAGTTCCCAAACCCCATTCCCGAGTTCTTTGATGTCGTCCCATCGGAGTGCTGACGCTTCGGAGACACGGAGAAGTCCACCAAACATTAGCAATGCCATCGTAGCCATCCGTTTTTCTTTTCCCGATGATGTCTCCAGTCCTTTGTCGATCACGATTCTCAGCTCCTCCAGTGACATGGCTTGGTGATGTTTGACCGGGGCCTCTCTTCTCTTTACCGCTTGCAAAATTGCTTGGATGTGTCGTTGCCAAGCGTCTGACCGGTTGCCGTTGAAGAAATTGAATGCCGCCACTTTGACTTGTAGAGCACTATGTTTTATGCTTCTCGATTTCTCCAGCAAGAAGAGAACCAGCGACGAGGTGTCCTTCCAATCCAGATCCCATTTGGTCGCGAAACGTCTTCTTTCTTCTTCAGCTCGTGTGTAGAGATTCAGCGATGACGGGGCGATTTCTTTTCCGATGAGTTCTTCCAGGCGATTCACCAACGTATGCGGCACCTTTGCTTGATTCAACAGGTCGAATACCAAAGACCACTTCTCGTGCACGAGCGACTCTATAAAGATAAAAGGATAAGGAATTTAATATTGATTATTGAAGGGGTGGGTGGGGTGGGGCTATAAACTAGATTACGCTACTGAAAATTGTCCAGAATGAAAATTTTTGTGAAAAATTTTCCTTTTAAACACGATTAACCACGAACTAGCCCTTGACGGGTTACGGTAAACAGCTTATAAGAAAAATACCATTATGTTTGCTCGCCAAACTCTGCGAGTTTTTACTCGCTATAAACATAATATCATTTTTCTCATAAGCTTTTCCGATATAATGTAACTAATTTTGAGGTTGGACAATTTATTCAAAAAACCAGTGTAGAATGCATTAAGTACTTGTGAAATCTATGTGTAAAAAGATGAACTGAAACTTAGTGGCTTCATCGTTAAAGGCCGTATTGCCGCCGGTGGAAGGTATTAAAATTTTTGCACCTTGACCAAAAATCAGAGAATCTTTCACAAAGTTTTGAAACTGGCCTTTCTCGTTTATTAGTAAAGGCCATACTGGATGTGATGTCCACTTGGGAAACCCCAAATACCTCTGGTACCGAACAAACTTCCCCACCTGATGGATTTGCAAAGCAGTGACGGTGGTGGGACGACCCATGGTCGGTACGGTGCGGACCACCATTCTTTCCAAGCGAATGCATCTTCTCCAGCGGCTTTTGCACTTGGGTATCTAGACACAAATGTTGAACACTTAGTATTGAACTCGTCTGCAAATAAATCTATGTCCGTTTTACCCCAACGTCTCATTAACATATCCGCTATTTGCTGTTTAATACCCCAATCTGCACTTTCTACTTGTCTGCTCATTTCATCTGCATCTTCATTCAATTCCCTTGGAATCCAAAAAGCATTTACTTGGATAGCCGATACGCTGCATGTTTTATGAATTTCCTGGGACAAAGCTTGTAGTTCTTTCTTCATGCTGCCTTTATTTACTATAGCTACCGCGCCTCGATTATCGCAGAAAAGTTTTAACGTTTCGCCGGCTTTTAGCTCATGAACAGACGAGCCTATGCCAAAACTAATACCTCTCAACTCTCTAAGTGTGCTTGATTCTAGTTTTTCTTGTACCGTTAAGTTTCTTGCTGCTCTCAACGTGTACCGTTCTTTTATAAACACTGCGCCTAGCGCTAATGCAGAAGCATCCGTAAACAGTAAAGCCTCACCTTCCAATATTGATGGAGCCAACGAGCGTGCTGGTGTTTGCAACAACCGTTTTGCCCACGAATTCCATTCGATTTGTTCTTCCACTGTTGGTTTGATTTGTTTTGTGGCCGCGGTGCCAATACACTGTGCATTTGCTATCACTTGCGAGGTCGACCGCGTCGAACGCACCGCATCTAAAACAACAAGATACATTGAAATAACTGATCCCACAAAACGCCTTCGGTCCTGGACCGTTGGTACTACGCTGCGTAGTATTTGCACCTGGTGCAGAGCTTTTTCCACCCGGTGGCTGCTCATGGAAACTGTTCCGACCTTCAAATCAACTTTATGTCCTAAAAAGTTTAGCTCTTGAGTCGGCTGAAGTATCGACTTTTCTTTTGCGATTGTTATGCCTGCCTTTTCTATGGCGTCTTGCAAAAGAGCCTTTGCTCGATTAATTTCCGCCAGACTGTTGGCAAATACCAAACCGTCATCTAAGTACAACACAATGTTAACTGCTTGTTCTCTCAAAGCTTTTACCCACGGGCGGAACATTTTTGTGAACAGCCACGGAGCCGGGGATAAGCCAAAAGGTAAAACCAAAAATTTGTAGAATTTTTCTTGCCACTTAAAGCCCAGAAATTTTTGTGACTTCGGGTGTATTTTTTATGTGATGATAACCCGCCTTAAAATCAAACTTTAGCATGTAGCCACCGGGTGGTAGAACATCTATCACTGATGTCAAATCTTCTAATCGAAAGTTGGTTTTGTGCAAAAACTGATTGAGATAGGATAAGTCCAGAATTAATCTCAATTTTGTTAAATTTTCCGCTACCAGAAGAGGCGACACCCACTCGAGTTGTTGAACCTCGACCTCTTCAATAGCTCCCCGCTCTACTAAACTATTCACCTCTTTTTCACGAAATTATGATGTTTAAACACACTAGACCTATTCTCTTCCCAGGCTTTTTTGACCAGAGGTGTATGAAAATGAATTTGATAGCCTTTTGAAATTACATCTAACCAAAATTGTGAACACCCTAACATTTTCCAAAAGCCTACTGAGGCACTAAAGTTAATATGAACACGCTCACCACTGTTTGCTGCTTCCGGCACGGCATTGATAGCGGGTGTGACCATACTGATTGCACGCATAGCATTGGATTGGACGTCCTTGTGGCCGGCTGCTAACAGCCCCATATCCATATCGCGACGAAGTGGGTTGCATTGTTTGTTTGAGTTCCTCGATGGCTCGAAGCACATCGTTGTTACCATTGAAATTGCGGGACGGAGGACTGGCAAAAGCTCCGCCCCGTTCAAGAAAGGGCCGCTCGCCAAAACGCCTCTTCTTCGATGCCGGACCGTTGTTGCTCAGGAGCTTGCTTGCGAGAAGGATTCCTCCGAGCCCTTTGTCACCATCAGCTCCCGTAATAGCTTTAATCTTCTCCGCCGCTTCTGCTAGTTCGAACACCTTTGGATCGTCGTCGGCGGCCACCAACAATGTGTTCCTTTCCTGCAGGCACCGAATAGCTTCTCTGATATTCTCTTCTTCGCCGCTCTCTAGTAGGTTGACGATCTTCAAGTTGAGTTCGACTTGTGTAGCAAACGATTTGGACTTGAGCTTCGGACCGTGTGTCGACTTTGCCAGAATCTTCGCCGTCAGTTTCTGCTCCAGATGTTGCTCCAGTCTGATCAGACTTTCTTGCACATTCGCATCGTCTGCCATTACCTAAAGTTAAAAAAATCTTGGCAGAGTAATGCATCGAGTAAAACAAAATTAAGAAACACAGCACAGCTTCAGAATGAATAAAATAAACTATAAACTAGATTACGCTACTGAAAATTGTCCAGAATGAAAATTTTTGTGAAAAATTTTCCTTTTAAACACGATTAACCACGAACTCGCCCTTGACGGGTTACGGTAAACAGCTTATAAGAAAAATACCATTTTTTTTGCGCACCCGGCCAAAAGCGCACCTTTTTTTCGTTGGAAAAGGCCTTAGGAAAGGCCGTAGAGCTTCAAAAATGTTTCCACACAGGGGAATCGTATGCGTAGATTCCGAATTTCGACAAATCAGACCTCGCTGACACGTCAAATTTGGGCTAAAAGGCAAAAACTGCGGAAAAGCGTTAAGTTGCGTAGTTTTTGCCTTTTAGCCCAAATTTGACGTGTCAGCGAGGTCTGATTTGTCGAAATTCGGAATCTACGCATACGATTCCCCTATGTGAAAACACTTTTAAAGCTCTACGGCCTTTCCTAAGGCCTTTTCCAGCGAAAAAAAAGGTGCGCTTTTGGCCGGGTGCGCAAAAAAGGTCGCATTTGTCCCACCCCCAAATGAATCACGTCTTCGGTATAGAGACATAGAAACAGATCATGTCAAGTCTAGTCTAAAATACTAAATAAAAAAAAACAAAAAGTTCGGTCGGTGGGCTCCGGTTTTTGATCCACCGATTGAAACCACGTGTAATAGAAACTAGCGTGCATTTAGTTACCGTAAATACTGTATTTGAAGGGTCAGCTCTTCTAATTTTTCCCGGCAGCTTGCCGAAAAAGCAAACATTTATTGCATTTAAAGTGATACTTTTCGTTTTCATAAGAGTTTATTAAAAATATTAAAAAGATAAGACGGCATTACTTTTCATTCTTTTGCACAAAAAGATACAAATCTTTCACATCTCCGTTGTAGTCTTTGATTTTGACGTAATCGAGTAGAATCGTCAACTTTTCATTCCTGAAAACTTGAGCCGTTTTTTGGTTGTCATTTCCGAAAATTTGCATCAACGGATTCAAAGGTGCTAGCGGAGGACAGCTGAGAAATTGTTGGACGATTCGTCTCCTTTCCCGGCTGTTGACTGCCATTTTCACGAAAGTTTTATCATCTTTTAGTTGCTTGAGAACGAATTTTTTGCGAGAGAGATCGGATTTGAGTTGAGCTCTGTAAACAAAATTTTTAGTTTGGCGTATTCTGAAATACGCTTGTTTGAGAAAACTACCATAATCAACCCTTTAAGTTTCATTTAAAAAGCTCAGTTTTGATATCATTGATTTAGCCTTTTGAATCTCAAACAAATTACATTAAAAAAAAGTGTTGAACCGACAAAAACTAGAGACTTGATTACGGTAGTTTTCTGATATAAGTTTCCTTTAGAAACTACAGGGTGCGCCATAATTGTCGCAACGAGATATTACGCCCGTTCAAGGACAATAACTCGTTCATTTAAGCCTCATTTCTGGGTTTTTTTTGTGTTTTTATTATATTTGGAATATAGTTGAAACTTTTTTCATATAAAATGTGTTGTTTTTTAGAATGACTGAAAAATCCCCATCGACAATCGATCATCGAATTGCACAAGCGAAGAGTCTCGGCGCCGGAGATTCATAAGCGTCTCAAAGTCGACAGAAGTGTCATTTTCCGCACTATTCAACGCTAGAAAGTTACGGGAACAATTGCTGATGCACCAAGAAGTGGTAGACGCCCAACTGTCGTCACAAAGACAAACATCAAGCGAGTTCGGAATTCGGAAGAAGCCAAACCAGTCGGCAAGGCAAATGGCAAAGAAGATGGCGATTTCAAGCACCCCATTGAGTTGAATCCTCAAAAATAAGCTCAAACTTTATCTATCTAATCAATTATGGCGCACCCTGTAGTGAACTTACCCATTTTTCACGATCAACAGCATTTGAGCATTCCAATTTTTCGATGGAATTCCATTTTCAATCAAATTTTTAATGATTTCTTCACAGGCATTGGTTTCTGACTTCATAAACTCCAAATTCACCATTTCCGCTGCGTTCCCATCGAAAACTCTCTCGTAACCGCTCATTGGTGAAATGATTTGCAAAGATTTACAGTATTCGATCATCGCGGCCATCTTTTGCCTCATGATGTCCAATTCTTCATTATTACACGTGAAATCTTCAGAAAATCTGATAGTTAATGTGCCAGTAACAATGAAATTCAGTTTTTCAAATAGATAATTGAATTTCTCGAAACTAATCATTTGAGGGATTTCAACATAGTGAACGGCCGAGATTTTGAGCGGAAGAAAAATTTCTTTTTGTTCCAAAACGCTTTGTGCAAACTTCAGAAAACGAAAAAACTTGATTTCTTGAAAAAGATTGACGAGAATTCGGTGAGCAAATTTTAAGTCCTTTATGTTTGTGCTGGAAGATGGATGAGTGATGGAAAGTTGAGAATCGGAGAGACGGAAGTCGATTTTCTCAAAGCCTTCCAAATTGACGTTGAAATGTAATTCATTTCGAGTCATAGCCCAGAAATTAGCCTGAGAAAATCTTTTTCCAAAGATTGGATCAATTAAAAATCGTTGACGAAGCGATTTGTTAACTTTTAGAAGTTTTAGAGTCGATTCGATGTTGGTTTTCTTGGTGGTTAACGTTTTGAGCTCTTCGGGCAGACGATTCAGTTTAAATGAATTCATTTTAAACAAAAATAATAGTTTTTTTTGGAAAATATATGAAAAATTTGAAAATTTGAAGTGAAAAAGATGCCAAAGTGAGAAAAAAATTGATAAAGTGTGGAGAAAGGCTTAAATTGATGAATCATGAAAATTGTTGACACAAAGCACAAAAAAAGATAATTTTTCAGAGAACTGCCCTCAAAATGATAAGTAAAATGCACAAATTTTAAAAAAATTTAGCTCAACTCACTTTAACATTTAAAAATGAAAACAAAAAGAATTAGAAATGGCTGAATTAAGCACTTCTAAATACTAGAACAGATTTTTGAGCTTCAGTCAGTTTTTTAGTTCAGTCCAAAAATTAATTGCATTATTTAAGTGTTAAAAGAATTATTAAGCTTCCACTCGTTTTCTTTTAAATTATAAAGTTTAAGTATTTTGCAAAGTTTACAGAACTTTTATATTTATCTATGTCTGAATTTGCTCTTTCCACGCTTCCTTGAGATTGTGAGTGACGCGGCTTTCCATGAACAATTTTGCATCCTGCCCATTGTGAGACCTCGTCCTCTACCGTGCACAAATTCTCTGCCATTTTCTAAAAGCGAAGAATTATATAAATTAAATACTATCTACTAATTGAATAAATACTTTTAGAAAGTACATACCTGTTTGAAGAATTCTTAGCGCACCAAAATTGCCATAAATTGCAATCAGATGTTCGACAACTTCTTTTGCCGTCTTTGTTTTGAGGGCCCTCAACGAAACAAATTTTGTAAGATGGTCCTAAAATAAGAAATATTAAAGAAAAGCGAATAACAAAAGTAGTTTTTGGATAAAGCAATCTACCTAATAAACGAAGACAGATTCTTCCTCCCCATCAGGAACGTTTTACATAACAATGAGATCGAGTTGACATCGCTCATTTTGCCTGCATGAAACAATCGGCTTGACCACGACGCCTTTTTTGGTACTTCTTCATGTTGGCATTCTTCGCATTGATCGACAAAAATTTTGGAATCGGACGTCCAGTTGGGAACAGGACGCCTGTTCGGATTCGGACGTAACGCATCTACTTGTAACCTTACTACTATAAATCTTCACTCGAACCAGAAATTTTACTTACTCTTTCCGTTTTTACAAGTACGAATATAGAAAATGTTAATCAAGTTCGGAGATCGGTTCTAGGATTGGTCAGAGCCAGGCCAGGTTCAAGTCTGTCAGATCTAAGAACTTTTTCCAGACCAGGAAAAATGATTTTTGAAACAAAATTGCCATCAACTCACCCATTGCAAAGAAATAAGAAATAATGGTGAGAAATGTCTACCAATTTTAAGCATAGAAGATTTTTCAAATCGACTCGAAATGTAAAAGAGTCGTGAATGTAAAAGGGAATAAAAGGGAATCTAATAGGTTGATGCATAAGTCTTTTCGTTTTTTTCGTACTTCTGTTAAAAAGTAACAAATTCACCAATTAATCTATAGTTTGCTCTATAAAAAAAGTGTTTTTTTTTGTTCAATTTGCATCTTTTTAAATGAATTTCGGTTCACTTTCAAGCAAATTCGAGAGTGAAAAACGCCTTTTTCGTAAAAATCTATAAAAAACTCTACGGAAAAATTGGCTGAATGAATTTCTCTGAAATTTTGGCGAAATATCAAACGTTTTTTTTCTCTCTCTTTTATCTATTGACACGAAGATAGGTTTTCTTTAGCTAAGGTGTCTAAACCGCATCATCGAGTTAGCCCTTTTTGACTACCCGACTTCATATTCTCAAGAAAATCCAGGCATAAAATATTTTTAAACCCGTTTTAATGTTATTTTGCAGAAAAATAATTGGTTTTTCTAATGAAATCAACCGTAGTTTAATTGGTGCATTTGTTGGCTTGAAACGGCAGACGAAAAGGAACAAAAAGACTTATGCATCAACCTAATAGTATTTCCCTATTTACTCAAAAACTTGATCGCTACTTGTTCGTGGGAACAATTTTGGGGTACTTTTCACTGGAGGTTCAAATTGTTGTGATCTTTGTAATCAAATGAAAAAATTCATTGTTTATTTCCAGACAACCTCAAACAACATCATAATTTTCCTCCAAGCTCTGGACCATTTCATATTTATCTTTATTCCAGGCAAACGAGAAGAAAACGAGGAGATTGATGCCAAGAAATAGATGAAGTAGTAGGAATAATGAGTAGGAGACTCTGAAAAGTTATGTGCTTGAAAAATTTTGATGTTTCTTACCCTTTGATGATTTGCTTCTGTGCAATAGTCCCTAAAGGTTCCTTTTTCGTCACTTTTCCTTGTCTCCATTTTGCAACCCATTCAAAAATGGCATAAGATCTTCCTCCCAGTTTTGATCTTCGTAATTTCATCAGAAAAATCCCGAGAAAAACGGAGATGACACAAAGAAGGAGGCAAATTAAGACAAACCAGCCTGGAATTGTTATTTATTGAATGATTTAATGCTGAACTTGCTCAAAGCTTTAAGTTCAACTCGCCCAGTAATGGTACTTTAGCCGATCGGGGAAAATTATCCGCCACCACCGTGAAAGTGATCGATAAAGCCAGTAAAGAGGTCAAACCGATGTTGACCTGAAAAGGAAAAAAGATAAAATGCTATTTTCAAGCTTTGGTCTGATTATAAAATCTTTACCGGATCTCCAGGTTCCTCGGCTGAACTCGGCAACATCACTCCAGTTATCGTCAATGTTGTGATCAATGCAGCTGGCAGAACAATGACAAAAATGAAATAGAAAGTTTTACGCTCCAAAGAAATCACAAATTCTAGCTAAATTTTCAAGTTCAACATTAGATTTTGTGTCACCTTATTGTAAAAACCGATAAGTTGTGGCTTGATCGAGGCTGCGATGTAATTGGTTGCATGAAATTCGGCGTTGCCCTGAAAATTTGAAAGTTTTTCTATCAGATGAATATTTTCTTGCAAAACTTACCATAAAAAAGTGACTTTCTGTCCTCACAGCTTGCAGTCTCATCACCGTCTGATTCACCGAGAAATTCATCAATGAGACATCGCAAAATTGAATGTCAAAAGGAAATCTGGTGAATGATAAAATGAATGGTAAAAAATGATAAAATGAATGATAAAATCGTGTGTGATAAAATAATTCCAAACCTATCCATTCTCCCGCTGCATAGAATTTTCGAGTAATATACATCGCTCGTCTGAACTCTTCCATCACTCATAATCTGTGCCTCACTTCGATCTTCTTCATTTCTCTCGTTGACTTTCTTTGATTCAACTCTATATCTTGTTTATTAACTGAATGTCTTAATTTATGAAAATATAGGGAACGATTTTTGGTTATTTTGGTGTTTACTTACGCGTTTGCATTTTTCACTATCGGTCTCCAAATCTCGCTGATCGGTAAATAGATATAGGTGTCATTGTTGAAATCTTTTGGATCAAACGCAAGCCTCGAATCTTGCCATTCCTAGAAGTTGTGATGAATCTTTGCTAATCTCATTGTTTAACAGGCACACGTAGAACACTGGCCGGGCGCAGGTTAGGAGCAGCTACTAAAGCTCATGTAATGTTAATTTCTGTTTTCCTTGATTGCTAACAATCCGGAGCTGGATCAGCCGGTAGTCTAGGTGAGCCTTTGCCTTGTCAGCACTTCTTTTTATTAGGTTGGCACATATGAAATGACCCCGACTTTGTCATTTCTCAACTCCCTCATTTTAAGGCCGATTTCTTTCATTTTTTGACACTATTTGCCAAAGACATAACGTAAAAAAACAACAAAATTTGAGCTAATTTTATGGTGAAATGGCTGAGAAGAAAATGCTGGAAATTTTGCTTTTGATTTTGCCCTTAGTTTCTTTGTAGGGTAAAATCCACTTTCATATGACCCATCGATCACGCAAAAATCCCATAAAAAAAAGGATATTTTAAAGAGAAAAAGGCTTACCACTACATACAATATTAAAAAATCAAAACGCTTTTATGGCTAACAACAGATTTTACGGACATATGAAGGTCTAAATGTTCTAGCACTTTGTTCTCAGCCATTTCACAGTAAAATCAGCTCAAAGTTTGTTGTTGTTTCACGTTATTTCTCTGAAATCTACTGTCAAAAAATGAAAAGAAATTGGCTTTAAAATGAGGGAGTTGAGGCATGACAAAATTGCGGTCATTTCATATGCTCTAACCTACTACTATTGGATATATAAGAGTTGACAATTTTCTAAATTTTTACCATATTAATGACATATAGAAAAGAAGCCATTGTGTCCGCCCCAAAAACCTCTTTGAGATTAAATGTCGGCACAGCGACGCTCACCAGAGTAGCTTTATGTGTGCTAGAGTTTAAATGCATTTAAATAACGTATGTAAATACAAATAATATGGACTCAATCGTTTATCGTAGTCCTTTAAAAGATCCGTTGGAAGCAGGCCAAGTCCTGAATTTGTCTGTAAACTTTTTGAAGCTTCTACTTACCGTAATCAAAAAATAATGCCAAATATATTAAATTCAGAAGAATTATCATCATAAAATTTGTTCAAATTTCTTCTTTAATTTTGAGATCATTTGAAAAAATGCAATTGGCAGTGAGAAAAAAGAGGGAAATTTCATCCGCTCTCATCGAGTATTTACCCAACAAATACTCCCCTTTCAGTCACTTTTCACAAAATCTTTGCGTTCGTTTGGAAGAAACGTTTTATTTGAACCATCAAAAAAAATAAAAAATAAGATTGTTTTACCATTGCAATATTAAAATTTATAAAATTCAGGCGTATCTGTCTCCAACGGATTCTCATAATCATCATCGCCGTCATTGAGAAAGTAGCTGGTCTCCATTTCGTCGAGTTCACTAAATTTGGAAAATAGTGCAGAATTTGAGGTTGAGGGTTAGAATTCCAATATTAAAATATGCTGATGTGCTTTGTGATTTATAAAGCTTTAATTTTGAATCCTTTATCCCTTACCTCATCTGCAAATATCCATATCCACTGATGTTCGCTTCAATCTTCGAGTAGAGAATCGTCTTTAAATCGGAGGCACTCGGGCGATCATTCGGCAAAAGACTCCAACAGGATCCCATAAGCTCTTCCCTATAAATGAGTATTGGAAACAGTTTGATGTTTGCATTGGTATAGTGATGGCTAGCATTCAAAAAAGACAGCACTTACATCCATTCCGGTGTCTCTTGAGGCACTTCAAGACGATTTCCCTTTTTAATAAACTCAAGTACGGCTTCAGAGCTGATTGTTGGGTAAGGGACGGTTCCATAGGAGAACACTTCGTAGAGGAGAACTCCGTAAGACCAACTGAAATAATGTGAAGGATTTTAATATTAAATGATTCAAAGATTGATTCAATAAGCAAATGTAGGAAGAAAATTCATTCTTTCACTAACACATCCGATTTGTGACTGTATTCGGCTTTCTCGATCGCTTCAGGCGCCATCCATTTGAGCGGCATTTTTGCTTGTTTCTTTGTACTACTGTACATCAAATCTTTGGCTCGTCGACAAAGACCAAAATCGGAAAGCTGAATAGCTTGGTTTATTGTAAATTAATGTTTGTTAGCTAGAGATGTTAGCATAATAAAATGGATAAAACCACTCCAAACCTTTGCAATTTTGGCCGCTGAAACAAGGATATTTCTTGCAGCAATATCACGATGAATGATGTTAATCGTTGAAAGAAATGACTAAACTTTACTTATGATTTGATCTAAATTGAATTATTACCAAAGCATCGCATACTTGCCAAGCCATTACAGGAAAGACATCACTGTCGATTGGACATTGAGCTCTCTAAATGGGTTTAAAGTTTAATTACGTCCTTTTTGAAAGCTAGAAACTACAAGGTTTGTCGCTAGAAACTACATAATGTAAATTCTTTTAAATGAACATTGAGCCTTACCGTTTTCGGATCACCAAACTCGCGAACCAGCGTGAGCAGATCTCCAAGCTCACAAAGCTCGGTGACAATCAACGGTTGAAACGGGTAAAAGTAACAACCGAGCATCGTCAAGATATGCGGGTGAAAGTTGAGAGTTTTCATGAAACGAATCTCTTGCAGGAATTCAATTCTAAACATGATAATGCTTAACTTGATCTTCTTGATCATTCACCTCTCCTCAGCTCCTCCATTCTCGTGCGGTCTCTTGATGGCGACTGAGTTTTCAATGGTTGAATACAAACCCATTAACTAAAAAAATTAACTGATTTTCTATGAGAATTCGGTAAAAAATTTACTCTGGCTTTCGGGAAAAGCTTCACAACTGGTGGAACGCCGCTGAGAATACCTGAAATTTGAGTTGCTTGTGTTAAAGGGTGTGACAATCGTGGCCGATTCTAAGTCAAAAATTTTTTACCAGATAATCATCATGGCGTTTTAAATGAGTAAGAAGCAACTTGCTAACACCAAAAACAAATCGGCTGAAAATTTATAACAGGTTTTAACCGATTCAAACGTGGCGGAAGAACATCTGCAGATGAAAAATAACTTTTTTCTTTTTTTTATCTACATTTTTATGCTTCAGGCATCAATTCTAATGAAGAGAAGGCTATTTCCAACAAACCTTCATTTGTTATCGTCGAATTGTCTCAAGTAAAACTTTTGATTCAGCATTGTCATATTTGTGGAAACTTCCCAAGTGGACGGAGCAAAGGAAAAGCTCGGAATATCAATTGAACTGCTAATGGAACTCGTTTGACTGCTATTACTCGATGGTTCTGCCAAAAGGATTCACGAATTAGATGGTCAACTCAGTCTTTCATTGATGGGAGAATCTTGCCATAACAGATAGCACCAGTGTGTTCTCCAGATCTCTTGTCTTTTTCTGTTCGATGAACATGTCATGTCTTTCGAGTTGGCATTTTCTTTGCCTTTCTAGGATGTTTATATGGTCAACTGTTGAATTCACTTATCAACAAAAACAAGAAGCAATTTGTTTCTTACTCATTTAAAACATTATGATGATTATCCGGAAAAAATTTTCACTTAGAATCGACCCCGATTGTCACATCCCTTTAATAAGAAACAAAAACTTTGTTTTAGGAGTCTTTTCAGGATTATTCTGTAATCGCGTCTATATCCTGTAACTTTTTCAAGTTTACAGCTTTACCTTCATTCAATAATCAATAATCCTTCAATAATCCATTCCAATCTCACCCTTGTAGACAAGAGCAGACACTCCAGATCCGAGAAGCTCTGTACTAATGTGCAGATTGGCCGGATCGATTTCCCAATCATCTTGCCCCCTATAGAGGCAAAGGATTACATGTTTTTGACTAATTAAATTGACTAATGCACTGATTAATGGCTAATTGACTAATTAAAAATAACTGCTTACGAACCTGGTATATTCTTGTACGTAGCGCTCGAAACCAGCGTCGGTGATGTCTTGATGGATCTGGAACGTGGCAAACTTTATTTAAACATTCATTTTAGTTTGCTTAGTGAGAAATCACATTTTATTTTAAACAAAAAAAAATGAAGATAAAGCTCTGCTAAACCTACTCTGACAAGAAATTTGAACTTGATTTTGAGGCGATCCTCGAGAAATCGAAAGAACACGTAAGCGGGTCGATTCAACCAACTGAGATTTTTGAGTTAATTCTTCGAATTTTCCTCAAACTTTGTTTGCGTAAAGACAATCGCGATGACGATGCAAAGAAAGAGAACGAAGAGGAGAACGGCTCCGACACTCAACGTTATCCGCTGAGCGACTGGGGGTCCAGTCGCGTCTACCGCGTCTCCTAAAGAGCTTTTTTTTGGTCCAAATCCCGTTCAAGTTTAAAGGCGCAAGCTTTGAATATAGTTAAATTAAGCTTTCACCGTTTTTACCTTTAACTTAACTTTAATTCTGTAAAGTATCAATCTCTTATAACAAGAGTCTTGCTATTGTTTCTACTATAGTTTACACTCAAGCATTCATATAAAGATTTTGATTGGATAACTTATTAATAGTCTTGTGAACTCGTGTTTTCTGAGAAAAGTTATTATAAAGTTGCTTTCCTCACCTGGATCTGCTGCGCACATCCCATATTTTTCACGAACCTTTTTCTCGATCGACAAATCATCGATTGTCTACAAGATAGAATAGTTTACTTTAGAGAAAAGTTATCGTTTTCTAAATGTTAGTAGTTGTTTCTAAGATTTTACTAGAATACCAAAACTAATTGCTGTAAAGCTAACGTTTTCGAAATGCTGGTAGTTGTTTCTAAGATTGTATCAGGACTAATTTATCAAGTGGCATTCCTCCTTGAAAACTTGCATGTGTTATGAAGCCTTGTGTGCTATTTTGTGCATTGAGCAAGTACTTCTCGACGACTTCCGTTAGTACATTGCCGTCTTGTGGCTAAATATTGTAGTTTTTAAAAGATTAAAACCAATTATACTCTTGTCCAAATCACTTTCATCATGATGCCCGTTTGAGACAAATTTTTCTGTTGTATCGACGTGTATCGACGACTCAAGTCTTGAAATTTGACAGCTGCTGAAATGTGATTACCGTAGTAAGTAGGAATGTTTAAAAATGAATATCTTATATCAAATTACTGTGATCAGGTTGTATAATACTTTGTGAAAAACAAGAAAAGAACAAAATACTCGAGTACAAGTGCTTTTTGTCATGTTGTTGTTTGTTTAAACTTATCAAAAAAAAACCTTACCATAATTACTGTCAAGGTTCGTCAAAACGAGTATAATTGGTTGCCAGTTTGTGTTATTTGTGCCATGACATTTCAGCTCCATATCGACTATCTTTGAGAAGAGTGCAATGATGTGGAGATCGTTTAAACCCCTTGAATTTTTGAATTTCTTTTCTTTTTGAACTTTTCTACATTAAAATTAAAGCTGAAAAATCGAATTTCAATTTGAACAAACCAATTAAATGAAGTGAAATGTGAATAGGGCAATCCACGCTCTGGTTTATCTCTGTAAATGTCCGCCATAGAGCTCATGCTTGCCACCTAGATGAGTGAAATTTCACCAGATTTCACCAAACAAACAAAACCACATCCAGAACTGACTTCTGAACTAACGATAAGCTTTTGCTCACCTCATCAAAGTACAGAAAATCTACACAATCTCCAAGCACCTCCCCTTGATCACTATTCGCTGAAAGGAAAACCATTTTGCTGAAAAACTTTTAAATGATTTGCGAATTGAAGAATCTATTGAGTTAACCTCTGCAAATCCCTCTCCGTACGATTGTTTTCTGTTTCCAATTTTATGCACGGTTCAAGCATCGGTTTCATGAGATCAAAATGTCGATTCGCTTCAATGTCATCCTGATGATCGAGAAGAATGACGGGATAGAGAGCGTAAGCTTGTTTGCAGGAGGCACGGTAAATTGTTGAGGACACTGAATGGTTTAAGTCAAGTAGATGGCAAACAAATCGAAAAGTCAGATGACTTCAAACTCACTATCAAGACATCGATTGGTGGCATTTTTGTCTGGATCACGTTGACATAGCGTCAAGCCGATCAACGAGATGATCAGCAATAACACCAGGTCTTTCATCTAAACAATTCTATAGGCGTTTTTAAGGAGGTTTTTTTTTTGGCATATTTGTAGAATTTCTTTTAAACGAGTAAAGGAAAAACGGTGATAATGATATAAAACTTCAAACAATAGAACATCTCTTTTGCACGATTTCAGAGCCAATCAAGAAACATGGATGTAAAATTTTCAACTTAAAAACTTCAAACAAAAAATTTGACTTGTTTCTTACCTCCTCACGTAAAAAGGAAAAGATTTAACACAAGGCTTTGTCGTCAACTTAACAAACGATTAGTGGTGATAACCGAGGTCGAGAGAATGAGAGGGAAATCGACAAAGAACTCAATGGAAAACATAAATGCTTTGAAAAGTATTCTGAAGAAAAATACATAAACGAACAACGTATTACAGAGAGATGACAAGGTGAAGTTTTTTCCGCATTTTCTTGAGTGTCTTGTTTGTGCTGATGGTTTGTAATATTAGTGTGTAATTTTACAAGCAAAATAAAGTTTATTAAGTGGTTTATCGAATCAAGATCTTGAACGATCAGTTACAAATTTGAATCAGATTTAAAAACGGTAATGAACAAAATATAAAATAAGAAAGATGATCACAGTGAGTTTAGAAAATGCTATTATTACGTAAAACTGGTCAAAGTCATTTGATGTTCAGAGTTATTAGTGAAAACTGGACTCGGTTGAGTAAAACGGAATGTTAAACTTAAGATAATTTCTAGAAGTTATCTCGTTCCTGGATTCTTGGGACACTTCGAGATATGAACACAAGTATTATCCTCCAATCGACCAAAATTCTCCGGGCAGAAGCAGCCTTTTTGTGGAGCAGTGGCACAACCGAACTGAAATTTTGATGAAACTTTTCAAAACTTTTGCTTTTTTAAACTCACCCCTCCCATCGCTGGATCTTTAGGCATTCTTGCCATACAACTGTCACATCCTTGATGCCACTGGAGGACCTCGTGCTCGGGACACTTCTCGGCTAAATGGGTTTGGATTGGTTTGGAAAGGGGTAAAGCTTTCACTATCGTTAGTTTAACACTGATAGTATAAAATCATCCAATCTTTTGTATTAGACAAGTTTTAAGGCCTAGAGGTTTTCAAATCGTTCTAATTTCAACAATTCATAGATTTTCTTGGATAAAAACTGCAGCATAAGCCCTGTGGACCGATTTTTGTCCCGCTTTTTCAAGGGGACTTCCAAAAATTCGTTGATACTCATAATTGTTCGTCTGCACGGAAATCTTTAGTAAAAGGCGAAAGATTTTCTCGGTCAAATGCAGACGAACCAGAGATAGGGCATGGAGGAAAGGAAGGGGTATAAGGAAAAGGAGTATGCCAGAAAGAGAGCGATTACGAGCAGGCACAAAGAACGCTCAAAGGACCACTTAACAAGTTTATTATCAACATTTTCACAATTACGTTTTTTAAAAAACGTAATTGTGAAGAGCGTTCTAGTTTTCGCGCATTCGGGGAGCATTAACAACAGTGGAATCATTAGAGTGGCACTAAATTTCTTTGAAAGCTGCACTTGGCTAGAATTCTAAACTATTTCGAATTCCTTATTTTGAGATTTCCTCTGAAATTTTGGCCACATCTGGGTGCAGTAAACAAATAGTAAAACGAATAAAAACAGACAATGCAAGGTTGTCAAGGAATTGATTTCCTCTCAACTCGGGAATGAGAACAATGCATTGCCTGGGGTAACACTAATGCACTACTATCAAAAGACTCTTTGCTGTTCGATTTGGTCTGGGTGCGACTGCGTAATCACTCGCTTTCTGGCACAAACAAACTATTCAACGGTCGAACTGTCACTGTTCAACTGTCATTCTCCTGCTTGCAAATTTTGCCCCGCTTTTTCAAGGGGACTTCCAAAAATTCATTGATACTCATAATTGTTCGTCTGCACGGAAATCTTTAGTAAAAGGCGAAAGATTTTCTCGGTCAAATGCAGACGAACCAGAGATGGGAAAAGAAGGAAAGGATCGCTATAGCTCGGGAGCCTTTACCAGAAAGCGAGCGATTACGCTCCCACACAAAGGACACTTGTTCATTAAGGGTCCAGTATTCTGCTACTTAAAATCTTTGAATCTTATTTCTAAGTAATCTTACGTTTTGATAACACCATGGTACAGAATAAAAGAATAATGAAAACGATGAGTTTGAACATTTTGTGTACTGTTGACCAGGAAATCCAACCACTTTTTCGCTTTTCTGAGATTCGATTTTGAGAGCAAAATGATGGAACCAAATGGTATCAGTTCAATTTTCGTTTTTAAATTCAATTGGATAAAGGAAATTGAGAGGACTTGGTGAAGTGTCGTTTTTTTTTGATTTGATAAATGATCTAGTAAAATGAGAGAGAAAAAGGAAGTTTTCATTTGGTGTTTGTGCTTGAGTGAACAGTTTTCTTAGCTTAGATTTATTTTTTTTTGAAAAAGGGTTCAAAATTTTTATTTTACATTGGCTAGGTTAGAAACCAGAAAAAGGAAAAGCAAAAAAGTTACTTAGATTGGTAAAAAAGGTAAAAACAATCATAGATGACAAAATCCGATCAAAATTTTAAAGATCACGCTTGTTTTCTCATTACTATAACTACTTACATTTTTCAGTTTTAAAGCCTAAATCAAATTTTAAAGTATGGTTTAATTAATTTAAATTAATTTTAATTAATTAATTAATTTAAAGTCATGGACGAAATTTTGCCTCTGTTCATACTTAAAATAAACTATTTATCATCTAGTGTTAGATGTTATGTGTTTTTGAAAAAAATTTATTCAAAAGGTTTCATAATTTAAAAATTCGGGGGACAGTCGGCAAGGGGAACACACTTTTTTCCTTTTTCAGCAGGCAATCGACCAAATCCGGGTGGACAATAGCAACCCTTGCGTTTTGGAGCGCCACAAGCAAACTAGAAATTGAATCGGTTCACTTGGTTACTCTTAAGCTTTTTAAAAATTTAGAGGCTGTACTTTTAAATCAAAATCAGATGCTAGACAAACCGGTGAATTGTGGGGCATTCGAGCGACACAACTGTCACATCCGTTGTTCTCCTTGAAGAGCTCGTTCTCTGGGCATTCACCGGATTCTTCTAGAAAGATTGATTCAAGATTTAGTACTTTTAACTTATAAGCTAAAACTAAAACCTTTATCAATTTCTAAAGCTTAAGTTAATCGGCCTGTTAAATCATTGACGCTAAAAAATATTCACCCGAAGATCCTTTTGATCCAGATTCACCAGAATCAGCCTGAATAAGACAGATCAAGAAAGCGGCGAAGACTAAAAGTTTAAACATTTTTCGGAAATGTTCTTGAAATTTTGAGAGACCACGTTGTCTTTATATAGGGATTGGTTGAAATGATGGAACGATGATGGCTTTATGAGAAAGATTTTCATCCAGGAATTGAGAAATTACAAAAAGTTTCCAAATGATATCAAAAGAGAGAAGGTCTTTTCCGTGTTGTTAGCTGTTTTTGAGTTTTAAATTTAAAAGCAAAACTGATAAATAAAATATTTATTTCGCACATTTTTACTTAAGACTCATTCTTTGGACATTCCGAAATGTGCACACATTTCCCTCCATGATCCTCGGACAATCGACCGAATCCCTCTGGACAGTAACAACTCTTTTGTGGAGGAGCTGCACAAGCAAACTAAACAAAAGAACATTGGGGAAAGTGTCTTGGCTAAATTATCTATTCACAAGTACAACAAACCAGATCAGTATGAGGCATTCGAGCCACACAACTGTCACATCCCATGTTTTCCTCGAAAACTTCGTTCTCCGGGCAATCTTCTGGAAACTATCAATTTCAAAATGTTTATGCTTGATTTCCTTAGGCGTTTGTTCAAAAGTTTTACTGTTAAAAGTTTCGTTAAGTATAATTAAGTAAAGTTGAAGCAATCTCCGAAAGCTTGGTTTCGAGATATTAGCCTAAACATTCCCAAGAAATATGCAAACCTGATTGAACAACAAAGATCAAGAAGGCGACGAATAGGAAGAGTTTGAACATTTTCCGAGAAGTATTTAACTTGGAAGCGAGCACATGTCTTTTATATAGGAATGGGTTGAAATGATGGAACGAACGGCGAAAAAAGACTTCGGGCGCAAATCACCCTTCAAATTGGTCTTCGATTTGTTTTAAGTGAAGTTAAAAAATCGATTTATCACACGAGAAGATCACAATGAGATTAAAAATGACAACTTTTTGCATCGAAAGTATTTACAGAAAGAGGTACTGATAGTTTGGATCAGCCGATTCGTTTACATTGAATGGTGTTTGATGAGAGTTGTCGATCTAGAAGCACTCAATATTGTGTTATCCAGGGTTTGAGATGCAATTTATGCTATTCAAAATTAAACGGATCGAATGTAAACTAGCAACTTGTTTAGTAGTTTTTTTAGAAAAAGCAACCGAAACAAGCTTTAGCTGTAGTATGTATATGATAGTTTAGTTTTCAGAGTCTAATTTGAGTTAGCTAGTAAACTAAGTAGCTATTGGAATCTAATGCATAAGTTCGAGTAATGTAAGTACTGTAAAGAAACTTTTCACTCACCGAATCAATCATGTAATTTGGCATGTAGATCGACTCATTTGGATCGAAATGATTTGCCTGATTTGGAACTGCGTACGGATTGTAGATTTCTGTCACATTTTGATGGCCAGATGCTTGAGCGATTTGACTCGTTTCCTGAAACAAATCATTTCATTTTTTATATCTATTTAAGATTTTGTTTTTATACTTACAAAGTTTTCAGATTGGTTGAGAATGCTTTCTTCTTGATCTTGATCATCAGTTTGGCGACTTCCTGGTCCTCGTGCGCTTTCCGTTTTAATGACACGGCGTGTTCTTTTGGGTTTATTGAGAATTGGGATTTTCTCGATAGTCCCCTGACTTTTCTTTGCCGTCGATTTCATAATTTCGAGTGCTGCTTTTCTCTGAAAACAAAATATGATCAAAAATTTGAGAGTATTCATTTATGTTCTTATGGGAAATCTTCGTACTGAAAGCTATTAGATTTAATATTAACTATTTTGAGTCTTTTTTTAAAAACCATTCGACTGAATTGTAACTTTTAGTCACCTTTTTTCTTTCAATCAACGGCTTTTCCATCAACTCCTTGTCATTCGTAAAGATCATTTCCAAATTGTCCTTGAATTGTTTCTTGATCGATGGAAAGCATTGAGAAGAAGCCAGAAGGAGACCACGGTAAAACTCCCGGCTTCTAAAACAAGAACAATGGTGAGTTTTGAATTATGAAAACTGTCACAAATTTGCAGCAAAGATTTACTTATTAGCCTCAATGTGGATTGGTTGTTCAAGTGGGACATCTTCGTGTTTGAAAGCAATGTGGCGAAATCCGGCTTGCGCTGAGGTCATTCCCAGCTGAAAGTTGCAATTGGTTTGAAGTATTTGAAGTAAAATCTAGCTTTACATTATCAGTTAAAAGCTTAATTTCAAATCGAAATGCAAAGTATCATTGGACAATTTCCAATATTTCTCTAACCTTGCAAAGTCCACAGAAGTAAAGCTTGTAATCGATATGGGTGGCTGCATGCTTGAGAAGACCCTGCATACTGAGCTGTGTTTCGAGATTACAAACCTAAAATTGGTGAGCTGAAGAATAAAAATGGGAACCAAATTGCTAGATTGAAATAAGATTAAGATCTAAACCCTGCCCTGCACTGGTCCTAATGCAGGTGACCAGAAAAATAACCCGCCCTATTTTTCTAGGCTCATATTTCTGTTGTTTTTCGACCAAAACGATTAATTTCTTTTTTTAAATAAAAATTCACATCGTTTTCTGTAAATGCTTAAGCTTTCATGATCATAGCATTGATAGATAATTTTTTATGAACGCTCAAAAATAGCTAGTCAAAAAATAACCAGCCGCATTTGGAATCATGAAATCTTGAAGATATACAGAAAACGATGTGAATTTCATTTAAAAAAGAAGTAAATTGTTTTAATCTACAAATAACAGAAATATGAGCTTAGAACGAACCTAGAAGAAACGTATTAGAACGGATTATTTTAGGTCACCCTGTAGCAAGCTGAAATCTCGCTCACCTCACACTTCGTGACCCCCTTGATGCGGTACTCGGTCAGCTTATCGTCTTGCTAAAAGAAGTTTAATTTAATTCACATAATCTCTGTCATACCCAATCAAACGGCTGATCACACCAATCCAAAATCAACTCCAGTGAATCGGGGAAACACTCGCGACCGATTTTCTCGTAGTTTTTCCGCATCTCGTCGGTCCTGAAAATTTCCTTAAATAGCTTTAGAAAAAGTTTTTAAAAGTTAAGCTTTCAACTCACATTAAATCTTTTGGAGTTGATGCTGGTGCTTTCTTGTGTTGATCAACCCAATGAGTAGCCATCTTTTTGTCGCTTATTTGTTTGAAGGGACAAGATCCACAGTGAAATCTGAAACGGGTTATGATTTTTACTGATTTTTAATATCAAGAATAAATTCTAGTTTTAAATTTCAACTTACCGGAATAAATGTGTTTCGTGTTTCGCCAAGTGAAGGGAGAAATCACGGGCAAAGAGACTGTCGGCCGACTTTTTGCACTTCTGAAAATTTTGATTTTGTTCAATCTCGATTTCTCACTGTATTGTAGGAATTGTATTATGTAACTGTAATTTAATTGTAAAAAAAACTTTGGATATAATGAAGTCAAACCTTGCAAACAACAGCCTCTTCTCGGGAAATTGACGGCTTTTTCGGGAACATTTGTCGTGCTTCATTTTGAGTTACCGTTGAGACATTCTGGCTCCTTTCCGCGTCTTCAATTCCCCAACCGATTGTTGAAGCTTCCTATTATAAAAGAGTTTAGCAAGAGAAGTTTTTGAATCTTTTGTATAGTTTCCAAAATCAAACCATAGAGAAATTATTGTTGGGAAGATTCGATTGGCTGAGATGAGCCTGTCCCTCATCGTTTTCCTCCTCAAAACTGCGAAATCTTTTCGAATCCTCCTAAATGTTCAAATGTTCAAACGCACGGTATGTTGACAGACTTTAGAAAACTCATTACTCAAAAAGAAAATACACTATTCAGGCACTAAAATCTTAGATTCTTTGCAACTTACCAGATTCAAATCCTCGTTTGATGAGTGACGCTTCTTGGCCAAATCGAAGCTTTCACGAGAAGTTGAGGGGTCATTTGATTGATGATCTAAAGTTTTAATGCTAAAATTTTATTCAGATTCAAAACTGACAACTCAGTGAGATCAAATATTTGGATTTACAATATCATCTTTGCAAAGAACTCACCATTCTCCTTCTCATTCAATTTTCCTTCAATACTCGGGATCTGTTCATCGAGAATGGCTAAATATTAATTAAAAAAAGAAAGTTCAGAAATTCTTTACCGATCGCTTTCTCTTTGATTTTGTTCCAGAATGAAAGCATTTCAAAAAATTTGAGTAAATCTGAAAAGAAATTGACATTTAAGTTTAAAAAGCAGGATTCATACGAAAAATTGAAGTTCAAGAAAGTTTGAAAAACAAAGATCTAGCAAAGCATTGATGGCAAAAGTAAAGGGAAATCAAAATCTTGCAAAGTTAGTTGTGATCACTAATGAACTGTGAAACAGGACCATTCTGTGAACAATTATTTCAGCAATCTGCCCCCTTTCTGACCAATTCACTCAACTACAGCTTAATCTGGCAGTTTTGACGAGGAAATTATTGGTAATTTAATTGATACATTAAAGTTTTAAATCAAGAATGTAAAAAATTTCAAAACTAAAGCAAAGCTCGGGGGAAACTTTGGAGTTGGAGCGATGTAATCACAAGGTAGAGTTGGTTTCTCTCAATAAGTTTTCTAAAATGTGTCAACTTTTAAGAGCTACAGTAATCTTGCCTCTTTAGTCTTGGACTTGGAATAAGCTCCGGTCTTGAAATTGGAATGAGCTTCTGTCTTGGACTTGGAATAAGCTCCCGTCTGGTATCTTCTCGTCTGGAGGAAATCTGATCTGAATAAAATATATATAGAAATAAGATATTCAGCACAACGATTGAATAGCTTTTGTGGCAGCGCTTCTTAAGATTTTTTGGTAGTTTTTATTGTTAAATAATATAAAACTACAATACTTTTTACTGATAGTTTATTTATCTATCCACTTTTAGTGCAAGGATTTAAGCGTACTAAAAAGCTAAAGTACCGCAATTATTGCAACTTTCTCCAGAATTCTTTTCGTGACCCAGTACAGGACTCCAAATAGCCAAGAGGAAAAAGAGTGCTGGATTTGTTATTCAGTTTAGGCTCATCAGAAGTTTTTATTGCTGAAGATAAATTCAAGAAGTGGTTGTCATTCAGATATGATCATTAAAAGCTTTTCAAACGATACTTTTTGCCTAGACATTGACGTGTCTATTCACTAAAGTCTCAAACATTAAGTGTCAAGAAGGAAATTGCTGTCTAGAGACAGACTTCGCTAACTCTTACTATAAATGGTAAGTGACTTAAAAAAGATCTAAAAAAGGGAAAGGTCAAGAAAATGAAAAAAAGTAGGTGCCAAATGATGTGGGTGGGGAAGAGGGAGAGGTTGGGAGAGAGACTCAATTTCCGAGTTGATGCATCACTTCATTTGGGGATCCTCCTCATTTCTTTCATCTCATCGGTCCTTTCTTACCCCCTGATCTTCCAAAAAAATGACCCATATCTTACCCATTTTGCCTTCATTTCGTTTTTGAAAACAAAGAATTTCTCACCTTACCGAAATGGTTGTTGTAATGATAATGTTTCTCATATCACTTGTATTTGACACTAATTGCTTTCTGGAAGCTGCTAAACACATAAACGTGCCAATTTTTTTTGGAAAAGCTTTACTTTTCCTAAAATTTTTTTGTTATATTTTAACAGTACTGGACAATGAAATATCATATTTGAAAAAAGATCGTCACTTTCGCGCGTCTGTAACTCTTTGGTGAGGAATTTTAAAGTAATTCGAATCGACTAAGCGCCTTTTTCTGTTAATTGATACAGTACTGGACAATGAAATATCATATTTGAAAAAAAGATCGTCACTTTCGCGCGTCTGTAACTCCGTTGTCTTTGAGTTTAAACTATTAGTGTTATACATTCTCTGAAAGCTCTTTTCAAGGGCTACACAATGGCAATATTAATATTTAGAAATACGGTAAAGACAAGGGAGTTACAGACGCGGGAAAGTGACGATCTTTTTTCAAATATCATATTTCATTGTCCAGTAGTGTATATTGCATGTAAGTGTAATATTTCGCTATGCGTTGGTTACTTTACAATGTCAGAGCCGATCATTTGCCTCATAGGATTAACAGGATTACAGGATTTAAATATCGTGATTGTAGGTAAATTGATTTCAATTGATAAATCTGGTGAAACCTGGCTTAGAGCAGTGGGGAACTGCGCCATTTCTAGACCAATACTAGCGTTTTAAATCTCATCAAAACGAACTTTTCAATAAAGGAAATTTAGAAAAGATTCTGGCACTAATTTATTGTGAAATATATATATATATGTTGTAGTCGTTTACGAAATTCAGCCGTTAACGAATGAAATTTTTTGCTAGCCGTTTACGAATGATTCGTAATCGGCTGAATTTCGTAAACGGTTGCGACAGATTTTTAGTTTTTTTATTTGAGAATATGAAACGTTAAGCTCTTATTTAAATTTGCATATCTCAATTTTGCATATCCAAAATCAATTTGAAATACACTTACACTGAATTTTATTTTTTTACTCTATAAAAAAACTTCTTTAAAGTCTATTTCTATTCTGAACATCGCGATTTAACCTTTTATTCATTCAAAATCGACATTTCAATCAAAAGAAAAACGAAAAAACCAACAATTACCAAAATCATTCGCTCTTTCGAAATGTTCTGTTCTTTTTTTGAAAGAGAATTCATTCTGTTTCTATCATTTTCGATTAGTTTCGAATTCTTCATCATTCACATGTTTTTCAGGTGAAAAAAAGGGGCAAAGGACAAAAATTTTTCTTTTTTTCCCCCAAAATTTTGTTACGATTTTAGATTTTTTTTGTGTTTCAATCAGTCAAAACAGAGGATTATTTGCAGAAAAATTTCCAAATCTTTGGAGAATAAAAAGATTTTTCAGACGATCATTTTGAATGGTTTGCTTTGATTAGATCAATTCATATTAATTAAAGCTTTTCTAAAGCCTATCTATTTTTAAGAATTACCCTAATCTTGTCTCGAGTTTTATCAAATCTGTCTACTTTTGGTCTTTAATCTGAGCTCACAAAGGATACAAAGTATGAAAGTTATCAGATTGAATAAAAATTGAAGTTTAGATTACAGACTACAGTAGTTTTCGAAATTTGACACTGTTTAGAAATGAAGAGACCATAGCTTTTCATAAAGTTTGACAGCTTTCACTTTTGACTGCATTCTAATCAAAAGAATTGTTCTATTTGTAAAGTTGAGACTTTCCCCATGCTTTACATTGGTTCAGACTCTTTATCGGTCAAGCTCAAGCCAAAACTCCGATCAATTCACTAGAAATTCATTCAAAACCAAGCGCTGAGCCAGATGGACAAGCAAGCTTTAACCAATCAAGTTTTTCGACAGAAAATAATATTTTTATCAACACTCTCGAGGCTACACTGAAACAGCAAAACAACTGCTTTTCCGAGTTTTCCTTGTAAATTGAAAAACTGCAAAAACTCAAATCCAAACACAACTTAAGTTCAAGTTTTGTCATTTAAGCTATTACAATTGATGGGTAGAAAGCAAATAATATACCCTTGGGGGTTCATGGAAGTTCTAAAACCCTCCACCCACTTTCAAATTGATGGCTTCATTTAAAGCAAAATACCGAACTTTTCTGTATTTAGGGATTTTGAGAAGTAAAGTTTTTATAAATCTCTCCATTTTCCATTAGTTAGTTACAATCGTTAAAGCTATAAGTTCCTTTTGATCATCAAATTTATGTAATTAGTGACCGGAACTTGTTGAATTTTTTTGAATTAATGGCTAAAATTTTGTTGTTTGTCTTCAGAAAATTAGCAATTTAAATATTTTTTCTAAAAATCAGTACAAAGATACAGTAGCCAAGTCATTGTTGGATTTTAAAGCAGATTTTGACTGTTTAAACCAGAAATAATTCTGTTTAAAGCTTTAGAATGAAATAAATAGGATGAAATTAAGGCTGGGCTATGTATTGGGTTGATGGAAAAGTCCTTTCCGATTTTTTGGGAGAGTACCTTAAATTTGTCCAATTTTAACGTTTTATAGCTCATCCTAAAGCTGAATTCAAGACGGGTCGATTGGTAAAAACCGTTTTGAGATAGCTCTTTTCTAAAAGTTTTACAGCTATTTTAGTAAAGGGCGGCAGAGCCAAAAAATGGCTGTTTTCACGTTTCGTTAGTTTTTCGTGCGGAAACCTAGGCTAAAACCATGTGTTTCGTGGTCAGCGTCAAAAATAACCCCTAGACACGCATTTTCAGAATCTTAGCAAAAAATTTTTGAAAAATATTGTCACCGGTGCAAGTCGAACCAGCGACCCTCAGATCAATAGCCTTTCTGCCGCTTTTCGCGATTTTCCTTCGTTTTTCTCGTTTTTTGAAAAAAGCCTGAAGAAAGCCTTCTAACAACATCAAAAAAATGATAAAACAATATAATAGAACGATTTTTATGCACCTAAACTTGTCGGGCTCTATAGTTACGAGGTATTAACAAGTACCAATTTTTGTTACCAGTGTTGGATGCACAAACATGTTTCTATCCAATTCTTAAAAAAAACACATCTACCTAGTTTCATTTCTCGTAGCATTTCATCTAGAATATAGTGTTCTTAAAGTTTTTTGACAGTTCGGCACAAACGCGCGCCCCCTGACGCACTCGAACAGTTTTTAAAACTGACAATGTGTGATCTTTTTGAATTCAAAATAATCCTTAACCGGAAACTTGCAAAAACTTTGATGATTTCTCATATCAAATGAAATTAAAAACTTTTTCGCGTTTCAACCCCACTCTCGCAACAGACCACACTTTTTTTGTATATCAGTCTTTTTTCTGCCAATCACGAGTGCCAATTTTTTCGACTTTTTCTATATTTTTACTTGTTATTGTCATTTTTCCAGTAATTTTTGATAGATTTCGGGAAAAATTCGTCAAAAAAACCTTTCCAAAAGTTTCCCTGATCATTGAAAATTCGTGGATTCAAATTTTGATTGAAAATTTGAAAGCTATTTTTGCTTTTCACCTGCTCAACAATCCAAAAAAAGGTAAGGTTTTTGCAAAATTTTCCAATTTTAGAAAATAACGTTTTCTGCAAATCACTCACTTAAATCAAAAAGTTCAAGTTACTATTTCAAGAGAATTTTGATTGAAATTTTCGTTGAAAAAGATCTAGAAAGGTTTTGAAATGCCAAATCACATGTTCATTCAGAAATTTTTCACCAAA